TCCGGGCAATGATTAGTTGCGCGGCGCACCTGGTTTCGTACACACGGCTTACGGGGCAAGCAGGCCTGTCTGTGCATTGGTCGTAACTCACTACGAAGTGCTTACAAGTGCTATGTGCGATGACCGTTTTCGACAGCTGACGCCACATATGCAATTGAAAAGGCTCTCCCGAAATGTGGCGGCGGGTGTGGTTCGGTACGGAGCTCTGATCGGATTAGTCGTGCATCTCTCAAGGTGTATCCAGTTCAACCTCTGTTGCTGTTTAAGGTGCGATGATCATCTGTGCGAACCGGCTCGCGACGCGACTAGTTTGAGACACTCCCGTACTCTAGAGTGGTGAGTGCGTTGCTTGTCTGGGACAGTTCTACTGACGGGAAAAGAAACGATCGTCGCATGGTGCTTTGAACGCCTGGAGATGTCGGATCATCATCTGCTATCGCGTCTGATAGACGACTGCGCCACTTCCACTGCTACGCAGTACACTGCGCTCCCCGAGTGTGCAATTCCGATTAGTTTGGATCACCGTCTATGGCAACTCCGTTCGACTAAGGACCAAGGGTCAGGTTGATTCTGTGTTCCAGGATGATTCAGACCTTACAATTGCGGCGATTGAACGTACTCAATCTCGTCGATAGGTGACCACTCTTCCGCATGACTTGTTTTCTGTTTTGCATCTTGGTGGCCTCCCCGCATCCGTCGCAATGCAGTGGTCGTTGGCTCGCGCTTGAGATATTGTGGGACAATCCGTGCAATACACAAGCTGGGGTTTGATCACACGCTCGGCCATATTCGGTTGCGAGCATCGTCGGATCGGCTTTGTGGATATCTGATTGGTTGTCGCTAATGCTTTATGATCCCATATTGTAACACGAAGCTGGGGGAGCTTGTGTCTGCAGTCAATCTGCGGATGATGGAACAAGCTCCCCTCTGGTCCATTCGGAACCCGCGGTTATTCCTTGTTGGGAATGGATGTCTCAGTGGATGGATTACGGCCGTTATGCGGTCGTCTGGTCATTGTGGTGGACTATCGCTGCCGCTCTATAAGCGGGCAACATCCCCGGTGTCGATTGACCTCTGCCTGTGGGTCCCTTGTCCTTGCGGCTTTTGCATTTCGGGTGGAATCGCTGGTTTTGCATTCGTTTGCGGACTCTCTTGGTCTCTGCGTTGGCTCTCTTGTATGTGCCCACGGATTGCTCTGTGGTCGCTTACCTGGGACATATTATTATCTACTGGGTTTATGGCGTGGGCCAAGCCTTCGGACACGGTAAAGCTCGGGCGCTTGGCGGTTGTCTCAGATTCATGTTCACATGAATATGTTCTGCCCGTCGTCTTCGATTACACCTTCTGTCCGGTGGTGTCATCCATGTAGCAGACTAGATCCGGGTTGCGCACTCGTTCATGTATGGGGCTGAGTTTACCAGTGCTGTCAGCATTGGGGTCCAAGCCTCGTGTATGTATAGGTGTTGCGGGCGTAAATTGTATTGACCTTTTACTTATCCTTGGAGAGTTGACGTGTTTGTTTTCCAGATGTATCGTGCGTATGCAACCATGCGATGCATTCCAGGTTCACTGTTCTGGAAGTATATATCCGAACGAACCACTCGACTAGAGTGGGTATCTCGTAAGATTCTTAACCGAAGCATCAGCAGGATACGGCCAAGAGCGCAAATTAAGGGAATGGATTCTCGACATTGAGTTGAACTAGAAATGGCAGATCAGTAATATCATGTTGACTGTTGCTGTTTCAACACGCATAGGTTTTCAACGGTAGGTATATTTTGATCACTCATGGGGCACTGAGTTTGAATAGCCAAGTATAGATCCTTTTACCATAAGAAGCCCGGGTGGTCTAGTGGTATGATTCTCGCTTAGGGATACAAACCCAAGCATATCTGCGAGAGGTCCCGCGTTCGATCCGCGGCTCGGGCCTTCAACTTCTTTTTGCCAGCATCTCGATCTCTTTTTTTTGCCATGACCATGATCATCCCCAACCTCCTCCTCCACGATGATGCAGAGACACCAGCGGTGTACGCCTATGGGGCACGGAATGGGCCAACACCGGGACCAAAACCCCACATCCATGAATTCTATCGGCCAGTGCCTTGGTTCTTTATCGCCCGCGGGATCTCGCCCGACGCGTTGCTGTGCCAACCGGTCTCCAGAACTCCCACCGCAATTCAATAGTCTTTCCCCAGTATCCAGCCTCGCGCAGATAAAGGGTGCGAACGGCTGCACTGCACGTCTATCGACAGTTGACGACCGGCCGACTGCCACGCCAACCGCAGGTACTGTATGACACCTCCGATCGTCAGAGGGCATCGTCATCAACAACGCGGAGGTGGGGGCTGCTGCACTGCTACAGCCTAGAATCAGTTATATATCCTAACACAATGGCCCGACTCAACCCCAACAGCCCCATCAAGCCCGCGGTGTTCCGGCCTCAAGCCAAGCCCATCACCCAGACGGTCGTCCGCGAGGTCTCCCAGTACGCAACGTCGTCCGCGTCCGAGGCAGAGGATGAACCCCAGCAACAATGGACGGTCACCACACTGAAGGGACAAACAAAGGGCGACTCGGTAACAACGACTACAACAATAACCGAAAAGCCCCCACAACAAGAGCAACAGCATAAACGACAGGGAAGAGTTCGACACCAAAGAACCGGGACCGTCTCCAGTGGGGTTTTCGACATCTTCTCCGATAGCGATGGCGGGCTCAGCGAAACCGAGTACAGCAGCGCGCGGTCCTCGACCCGCTCTTTGTGCGAGGCACGAACAACAGACCCTTTGAGACTGTCGCAGATCAATTCTTTGTCCGCGGCCCCTTTGTCCCAAACGCCGCCCTCCCCACGGCGCCGCAGGCCAACAAGGAAGCCGGAGACTTACAACTACGATAAGGAGAATGACCCGATCGAGCACGAGCACGAGCGGGATCGCGACGTCCCCCCGCTGTCGAGGAATCCCTCGGATGCGTCCTCGTCGTCGTCGAGTCGCTCGCCGATGCGTAGACCGGCTGATACTCGACCACCACCAGGAAGAGGAATGTCGAACACTCATCGCCCGCTCACGGGCTATCGACGGCCAGAACCCGAGTCTGCCGACGAAGAAAGCGAGGAAGACAATGACGCCGACTCAATGGCCGATTTCATTGTCAGCGACAATGAAGACCTCAGTTTTCACAACACCTCCGAGGATGAAACAGAGGAAGAAGAGTTCGAGAAGCCCGCGCAGCCCTCGCCCTCGCCGCCCAGAACAGCCATAAGAAAGAGATTGTTCAGGGGTCGACGACCGGGCCACGAAGAAAGAGAGATAAAAAAAGATCTGCAAGAAAATCCGGCTGCAGCTGCCTCGGACAATGAGGTGGATCTGAAACTGGCACCATCCTTGCCCGCCAGGTTGACAATGGCAGCCCCCAAGCTGGAGGCCACGCCCAGACGCCTCTTTCAGGACGAGATCAACCTTACCGACAAGCTGAACAATCTATATCTGGAGAACAATGACCCGGCCCTCCAACTCCAGCAGGATTTATTCACGTAAATTTCCCATAAATGCTCCATTCACACCCCTGTCTCTTTGGGAAAACCTCTGGTTCGCATGCTAATATACACTTCAAGGTCCGGTCAATACGATGACTCTCCAACCAAGAGATCGTCGGCCAACAGAAGCATTGAATCGGCAACAGGGACGACGCCAACGACGACCTCGACACCGCCATCGAGTCCCTCGAAGGGACGCCTTCGATCCCCAACTAAAGACAGACTTCGGGTACACATCCCGCCCACCCCTCACCGCGAGAGCGTAGACGCCTTCTGGAGCGAGGAAGTCACCAACGACTGGGTCACGCAACACTCCCCCTGCAAGGTCGACGACCTCCTCCGGGAGTTCGACGAGGAGTCCGACGCCGGAGTCATCGACGTGGACATCATGCCCCGGGGAGCCAACCGCGGCAGCCACCCACCAGCCTCCCCCACCCGCAAACCCCTTAGCAAGACGGCGCTCAAACGCGCCGAGACCGAGAAGAAGAAAGCCGAGAAGGCCCGCAAGCAAGCCTTTGACGCCTCCAAAGCCGGCTTCGCGGAAAATTTCTTCAAGACTCTCGACAATGCCGTGAACGACGGCCAAGTCCAGAAACTAGCTGCTACGACCGGAGGCGTTGAGATCGTGTGGAGCAAGACCTTGCAAACCACCGCCGGCCGCGCCACCTGGAAGCGAGTGACGCCAGGCAAGCAGCAGCCGCAGCCGCAGCCGCAGCGCGAGTCCGACCTCCTCGGATCCGAGAAGGACACCCCCACCAAAGCTGCCAAACACTACGTCAAGATCGAGCTCGCCGACCGGATCATCGACAGCGAGGAGCGCATCATCAAGACGGTGGCGCACGAGTACTGCCACCTGGCCAATTACATGATCTCGGACGTGCACGACAACCCGCACGGGGAGAGCTTCAAGGCGTGGGGCCGCAAGTGCATCGCGGCGCTGCAGGACCACCCGGTCTACGGCGGCGGGCGGGTCGAGATCTCCACCAAGCACAACTACAAGATCGACTACAAGTACGTGTGGAGCTGCGTCGACTGCGGCCAGACCTACGGCCGGCACTCGAAGAGCATCAACCCCGTGCGGTCGCGGTGTGGCCGGTGTCACGGGCTGTTGCAGCAGATCAAGCCCAAGCCGCGCAGCGTCTCGCCGCGGAAGAAGCAGCCGCTGTCGCTGCTGCCGAATGCGCGGGGGCTGCTGGCAGATGTGGCCAAGGTGATGGACGGGGTTGCAGCTGTCACGACGCTGGATGATTCTGACTAGCCAGTGCACTGCATCTGGAAAACTAATAGTCTTGATGGCGTTTCCTTTGGTGCCCAGTTTCTTAGCGGTGATGCATTGGTGTATTTATTTCGGGTTTGGTTTTGTATTTAATTGTGGGTGCTGCTGACCTGGTGTTAGGGCATGCTCATTAGCTCAATGTACAAAGATTCTTGCTTGCACTAACAGAATGTCCCATTTTTTTTTGTTAATGTTCAAGTGTCTGATTGATTCAATTCATAACTAACCTAGGTATCTATCTATCTATACACGCGACAATCGCGCCGCTAACTATTTATATGCATAACATGATGCTTCTGACCATCGTCCTTCAATCCCATCCCCAGTCCAAGCATCCAGTGTATTCCACTCATCCCGATTCCCATAATATCCAGTATCCAATTTCCATCCCTATCCACTACCCCCGACCTTCTCTCCTCCCCTCCATACTGCGACAAGAAAGAAATCAAGCAAAAAGCCCCCACTCCACAATCTTCAACCCGCGCACCAACTCGGCCACCACCCCCTCGCCCACCTCAATTTCCCTCCTCAACCCCTCGGCATCCCCCCTCTCCAGAAACTCCTTCTCCGGAACATTGACCAACACCAACAGATCAGTCTCCTGCTCCACCAACCGCACCAACAAGAACCAGCACTGCGTTGTCGTTGTGCCTGCCTGTTCCGCACTCGACCCAGCCCCAGCCCCCGCTGCCCCTGGTGCTCCCGCTACCACCCTCTGCTGTTGTGGGCGTTGTTGTTGCAGTGAACCCCTCCCGCCCCCTAGCGGGGAAGTAAAACCCACCCGCCCAGCATAAGCAGCCACATCCCCGGCAAACTTGTCGAGTGCAACCCGTGTGGGAGGCTGGATGATCGCCAGCGTATCAGCGGGATCGCAGATGTCGAGGAGGTGGTGGAGGGCGGCGGCGCGGTTGAGGGTTTCTTGGTCGGGGGCATTGCCACCTTGGGTGCTGGTTCCGGAGAGGAGGAGCGGGTGGGCGTGCAGGGTGGCTTGGGCGACGGGGTTGGGGACGGGCTGGTTGAGCTCGATGATTAGGGAGGAGAGGGTGGTCGGGGAGAGGTAGAGTTCTTGGTGGTCCGGGATTTCGCGGAGGGTGCTTTTGCGTGCAGTTATTGTTAGCTAGGGGTTTGCGGTTAGGTGATCAGAGGGGGATTCGGGGGGAGGAAGGGGGCATCGGGGCGGGGCAAAGACGACTCACCTCGCGTCGATCCAGCCTTGGGGGATGATGCCTTGTATGGCGCCTCCGTAGAGGGGTTGGGGGGTGTAGGTTGGCATGGTTCTTTCGGGGGAGGATTGGGGGGGTGGTGGTGTGGTGGAAAGGTAGGGATTTGGTTGTTGTGTGATTGTGAGCGTGAGTAGATGGTGGGGTGTCTGGGTAGATTGAAGTATTTATGTGTAGTGTAGTGTAGTGTAGATTAGATGTCTTGTGGAAAGTTGAAGGAACAAAGCTAAGCTGCGGAAAGCTGGGATAGCAGAACTTCACATGATAGCGGGGCTGCGGGGGTCTTGCGGCTTGCCGCCTGCATAAATGACTAATTATGCTCAGCCTTGTGACTCACCGATCTATAAGTTTACCTCACATCAACAACACCAACTGCCTGGACTCATATCATGACTCAATGCTTTATATCTCGAACATATGGCGTCGCAGACTGCTAGATCTTGCTCATCCAAGGCTAGACCTCTACCTCTCCCGCCAACCACTGACCAACCTATAAGTATGGTCAACAACACCAGCCACCTGGACTCACATCGTGACTCAACGCTTATATCAAAAACATAGTATAGCGTCGCGGAATGCTCTCCTGCTCACCTAAAGGCTAGACTCACTGCCTAAAGGCGACTAACTAGCAACGACCGCCATGGTGCTAGCATATCATGACTCTACACTGACTGTCCAGTCCAGTCAAGCTCAACTCCTGCCCTGAATACTCGCCAACTTCTCCCCCAGATGACTCTCCAACATGCGTCGATGACCTCCCAACACCAACCTCGCATCGACCACTGACTTCGCATACCGCTCAACCAGCACCTCCAAGCTCACCTCCTCCCCCCAATCCTCCTGGTCCTGCTCGAACAGCACCTCCACCCTCCTGACCGCATCCCTCCACACCTCCTCCAGCTCCTCCCTCCACCCCAACGCATCCGCCAAACCGCCCACGCCATCATCACACTCCCCCAGAACACACACATCCCCGGGCCTGCCCCCCAAGTCCCCCGCGCGCTCCCGATTCACCAACACCCGGGGCACGCCCTCCCGCACCAATCTCGGCAGCTGCGAACACGGCGCGACCTTCAAACTCGTCCCCAGCACCAACAACAAATCCGCCTCCCGCACCACCGCCTCCCGCTCCGCATACGCCGGGGGGATCTCCTCCCCAAAGAACACCACGTCGGGCTTCACCACGCCCCCCTCACACCCAGCCACTGGACAATACGGCACTGCGCCCGTCCGCACCGCCTCCCGCATTTTTCCATCCGGATACGCCGTCCGACACTTCCAGCACCGCTGGCCCGCGCGCCAGCTCCCGTGCACGTTCAGCAATTTCTCCGCGGGGATTCCCACCGCCGCCTCCAGGCCGTCGACGTTCTGCGTGAACAGGAAGTGGAGCAAGCCCTTCCGGGCGAGGAGCAGTAGGAAGGCATGCGTGCGGGTCGGGCGCACGGTGCGCGGGTGGCAGCCGCGGGCCCGCGCGATCGCGTAGAAGGGCTCCGGCGTGTGCGTGAAGTAGCTGAGGCTGAAGATCGCCTCCGGGTAGGGCAGGAGGCGGCGGAGAGGTTGCAGCTGGTCGTAGAGGCCCGACCCGGCGGTCCGGAAGTCCGGGATCCCTGCTGCGGTGGAGATGCCCGCGCCGACGAGGACGACGATGCGCTGGATCTGTTGGGTTTGGATCTGGTGGATGATTTGGGCGAGGTCTGTCATCTTGTGGTCTTTTCTGCTTCTTGTAGTCTCTGTCTTGCAAAAGATGTAGAGGAAAGGTGTGAAGTGGGGTCGAGTATGCGTTCGATTTGTAGAACAAAACAGGAGGGGCGGTTGTAAGTTGTGCTGCCTGCTGCTAGGCCCTTTTCTAAATGGTGAGGGCGGCTGCATTGCACAGTTGTCAGGCCCCTCGTATCGAGCATGAGGAATATGATTGGGTCGTGGATCTGCATGCATCGATCATCATTCTTCTTGAGGTGAGTAGTGACATCCTGTCACGCTGTTGATGCATGAGAGTTTTTGGAACATTTGGGAGGTCCCTAGCCATACTACTAGGTAGGTAGTCAGCGGGTGCGGGGTTTTTGTCTTCTCTTCCTGGGGATACTCGGGTCCCTTAGTGATTGAGTCAAGGACACATAACTAAGCGTGGAGTCAGGGATGTGGAGCCAGAGCCACGCACTACATCGGAAGATATGCAAGCTACATGAGGATTCTACTGCATCCTTCACAGAATTCTAGTCCCTAAAGAGGGTCTGATGAGTTGTAGATACTGCCGACTTCGGCAAAGCATTCAACATGCCGGTTGAAGGGCTCGGCAAGCGCTTCCGCAGTCCCCGAGGCTAGCCCTAAACCGCCGGAAACTGGAACTATGGGCAGAGTCGACAGACGCCTCATGCACAAGCACTACTCGCCGATGTGATTCCATTTAAAGGGTCACTAGGTACACAAACTACTACCTAGAATCTGCCAGTAGTCAGAGATATACCGCACAAGATCACTCGACATACGTTGCAAAAGCTAAAGTGTCTTTTCACGTCTCGTCTTACAGGGAGGATGTCTCCATACTTCGGATCGGCAACACAGCCATACAGCCGACCGACAGTCCGGGGTCGTAATTTATGTACCCTCTGATTGACCCCTGCACCGGCGCCATCCCAGTTTCTCATGCCTACCACATACAACAATCCATGAGTTAAATTCGTTCTCCTCCTCTTCCTCTTTCGTTCCCTCTAGCCCACCAATTGCGAACATAGCGGGACATCACCACCATGTTCTTCATCAGACAGCAGCGCCCCCACCACATCCTCCGTTCCCTGCATACGTCACCACCACCACTACCCGCACGAGTTCAACTCGCCTACGAGCTCCATCACCACCACCGCCAACCACCGCGCAGCAGCAGCAGCAGCAGCAGCAGCAGCAGCCCCTCAACATCACCAATTCTCTTCCTCCATGGGTTTCTCGGTTCGAAGCGCGAGAATCGGCTGATTAGTAGGCAAGCACTCTCCTAGAAACCCTTCGGGTGTGTTGGATTGGTTCCATGGCTCCTTGCGTCTCGTCTCCCCCGTTTTTCTCGGTTTGCATTGTAACCACTAGTTATGCTATACCTTAATAAATAATACTCGAAAACCCATAGTTTCTAATATGAGTCCTTAGACAACTGGCCAAGGATACCTCCCGAGCAGTCTATGCATTGGTATGGTCCTTCCCTTCCCTTCTGATAGAGCAGAATCGCATGTTGCCGTTGAGTGATTTCACTTTGAATTCCAATGAGATTCATCCCCTGGCCATACCCCAAAGCGTAAGATAATTCCAGAGAAACTGACACCGTGGGAGACAGGATCTGCGCAACCACGGCGACTCCGGCCACCATCCGACGCACGACTATGTGGAACTGGCGCTAGATGTGCGAAGCTTCATCGAGAAACACCGCATTCGAGAGCCGACTATCATCGGGCATTCGATGTATGTGCGAGAAGTCTCTGTCCCACCCGCCATTCTTCAGTAATTGATCCAATGTTTCTCCCATGCTCACAGGGGAGCGAAAACAGCTTTAACCCTGTCGCTGGAATCCCCTGACCTCATCAAAGATGTCGTGGCCATCGACAACGGCCCCATCCATTTACCGCTTCAATCGGATTTCCTTGGATACCTGCAAGGTCTGGCCCGGTTGCAAGAGGAGCGGATCACCAGCCATCGGCACGCCGATGAGATTCTGGCGGCATATGAGAAGGTACATAGTTTCGTTCCCAATAATGTTTGTTTTTGTTCCCCGTTCAGAGACTGACTTTTTCTTGTCCATCTCATTGTCCAGGACCCTGCCATTCGACTCTGGCTCATCAGCAACCTCGTGAAGACACCAAATTCGCCATATCTCGACCTGCGAATCCCCGTGGAGATCCTGAAAACGGCCATGGGGCCCCTGGGCGACTTCCCCTACAGAGCGACCCAGGAAGGAGCCAAGCAGTTTCACGGGCGTGTACTCTTCCTGAGAGCACTTCGGAGCCATTATATCCCGGAAACGGCGTTCCCGACGATCTCTTCGTTCTTCCCAGCCGCCCAGATCGTGAACATTGATAGTGGTCACTGGATCGTTCAAGAGAAACCGGAGGAACTGCGGCAAAGTACGTTTGTGCTCTCCCTTCCAAAGCTCTCCCTCGATATGTTCGCCTGGAGCCGAAGGCGCGATACTGACGCTCAGTCCTTCGATATAGCGGTTACAGAGTTCTTATCATAGCCTAGAAAAGGCACCGTCCGGTGCTGGTGGGCTTTGCATGTCAGATGATTTGGCGGACATATGTGCGAACCCTCCTTGCAGACTCGACCCAAGAGAGTAAACCTTGGTGCATACGAGGTCGCTCATTCACAAGATCCGCAAGATACACTTTGCAAGCCGGCCCCTGTAACGCCATTCTTAATCTGTCGTATCTAGATCGCTGTCCAGATTAGGCCAATAGATTCCCTGCATTTGTGTATCAGTCGAGAACTCGTCCAGCTGAGCCGGATAAATCTCGTCCTGTGACAAGAATGCGCCCATAGAGGGCTGGCTCCATGAAGACGGCACTGCTCCCACCAGCAGCCTGCTGCGTCATAAGTAGAGGCGGTCCAACGTCCGCAATGGACGCGCGCGGCTAAATAGCGGAAACGTTTTGATGAACCTCGACACTTGAATGCGGTCCCTCGGTGTATGTAAACTATGAATTTAGGCCGTCCTAGACACAGTATGGTACGTGTGCGTAGTATCGTATCTAGCAAGACACATCAATTCGGTGTATTCGGCCCGTGCTTGGGTATATCTCTGCTCAGATGTCGAGGTACAAGGACCTGCGATTCCCAAATGCATTTATCGACTTATATTGACATCGGTACCAGGCTTTCGCATAGTGGCACATGGGACTGATGCATACGATTGATTCAACGTCAGCCCAGACTATTGAATGCATGCCTTCGGCAAGATAGTCTCGTTGCCGAAGTACTTTCCCGTGTCCGGCGTAGATTCTTGCTGCCCCGAGGGAAAGCCACGGGTTGATTGAATTCCAGTCGGGCGATGTCCAGAGAAATGGGAGAAAGTAAATGGATAGCGTACGATTTCTACCGCTTGAGAAGCGCAGGTCTATACTCAATACGGATCTAGACCTTCACCTTCCACCTCCACTTCCATTCCAAGAGCGCCCACCGCGAACAGACGACACTCACCAAACCCACTACCAGCACTGCTGCATAAAATCCCACCAACACCTGCGGTGTAGTCGTCTGCAGCAACTCCCCTCCGATCGGAACCGTCAGCAGCCCTCCAAATGCAGCGACACTATAAATGGTCCCGTAGAAGCGGCCATACTCCTCCGTCCGACATAACTGTCCCGCACAGACCGGCGCCAGCGAGATCCACCCCCCGGATCCAAATCCAAAGATAGCAACCACAGTGTACAGGGTTGCTTGATCGCGAGATCCGACTGGAATCCAGACTGCAGCCATCACTACGAGTGTCATCACCACCAAGGAAAGAAGGGTGTTGAACCGGCCGAAAAGATCAGCAGCAAGACCGGGTAGCACTCGGCCCATCAGACTCATACTGTTGAGCACAGTGAGAGAGTAGAATTGGCTGTCAAGAGAAAAACCGGCGTAACGAATGTATGTTGGGAGAAGGGAGGCACAGCCAAAGATGATGAATTCGAAGGAGAAGACGGCGATGGCAAGGAAGCAAAAGCGAGGAGAACGAAACACCTGGAAGTCGACTATAGCGCGATTCTGGGTACTGGTCGGAAGACGCCCCTTGACAAGGAACATTCCCAGCGAGTAGCAGGCCAGAGCAACAAAGGCCATGATACGAATGGACCAGGTCCAACCGTACTGACTGAAGCACTTACGCAGGATGAGGGGTAAGATGGCCCCGCCTGCAGACGAACCAGCCATGCAAATTCCCGACGCGAGCCCACGACGACGGAAGAACCAATGACTCAAGACACTGATCGAGACGGTCGTCACGATGGCAGCGGATATCCCTCCCAGAATACTGAGACAGAGGATGAAATGCCAGTACCTGGAGCACTGGGCGAGAAGAAGATAGGACAAGAAGCTGGCAAGGGAGCCACAAGCTAGCAGCACTCGGGGCCCATAGCGATCGAAAAGTGGTCCGACTTGAACCCCGAGGAACAGAGTCAGGAACACGAAGATGGCGGTAATCCAACCAACATCTCGAACGCTGTAGCGAGCAAGCTGGTTGACACCGATGTAATCTTGCACGGATCCGACTGCAAAAAGTTAGCGATCGACTCGAAAGCGAGTGTATGATACTCAGGACACGCACTAGCTGTCTGAAACCCGAAAGAAGGAAACATAATCAAGGAAGAACCCAGGAGACAAGTCCATGCATCGCGCCCACCCTCGGGGAAAGCCAGACTAACGGCTCCAGTGGGATTCACATCCTCGGAGGATGGCTCCGGTTCTTGGGTCAGAATATTCAGTTCTTGATTCGATGTATCGGCGTTGTGGTGCATGATCGCGAAGTAAGGCTGTAGAAACGGTGAACAATGCTGGATATTAAATCAGGGCGGCTCGCGACTTATTCTCTTTTATACTCAAAAAGACAGGCGAGGAGAAGACGAACGAGAGCTTTGGGTCATGTCACCGAAGGGCGTGCTGTGGAGATTGGAGATTAGATAACGGGTTAGGTTTGTTAGTGATCGGATGTTACTTCCGGTGGCGGCGATTTTGTGGGATACGCCGGGGTTATTGAGCAAGAGAAAAGTACTACATAGTCAAAGCTGAAAGATAAAGGGCACCATTTAAGCAGAATTGAAATTCTGCTCAAGGTAGTTGGCAAGCTGAGTTTAGAAGCTAATCCTTATTGCGAATTATTACATATCGAGGAGCTCCTCAAGGTAGTCATCCAACGCTATAATCCGGAACTGATTTCCCCATTTCGCGCGGAAGTCCTTCCGGCGATAAGCATAACTAGTTACTGGAGTGAAACTGACCAACTCCACGGTCCACCCGCGTCGCAGTGCTCTTTCCACCATTTTCATGAACCCACCCGAGAACTCGGCTTCCGCCGCGTCGCCCGTGGCAAGAACAATGGTGGCAGGTTCGTCTGTATCAAGCAGACTCTCCAGGATCTTCAGATGTAGAATTTCGTCCACACCCTGCTCAACCCAACGCTCCTCCGGTCCCTCGTTCGTTTCAGAACCACTACCGGGGTCGTGGGAGCCTGTCCGAAGATTCTTTCGAAACTTCAATTGACGGGCGGTCATGTGCTTGACCTTGTGCACACGATCAAGGATGTTGGTTTCGTAGCCAAGCTGTTCACCTTCACGGATGGCAGCAAACCGGTCAGACCCAACCAAGACTCGCTTGGCAGTGGGCCGCCCGCGTTCTAGGATCAAAGAAAAGTTTTGAAAGGACAATGGCAATCGCCGAATGCGCGTCTTCACAGGAATATGCCGGGACAGCTTCATGGTATCGTGATAGCCAACCATAATCTATATCGCGTTAGTCATTCATATGGTGCTTCAGAAGACGAGACATACATTAGACATATCCACGAAGACGTGAATAGGAAGGCATGAGTTCTTGTCCTTCTTACCAGTCACAGGACGATTCGTCTGGGCAACGACATTTGCATAGTCCGGGAAGTTTTTCAACAATTTAGTCAAGAGACCAATTCTCCGCTCCGTGGCCGACTTGTAGGGATTAGGCTGGATACGTAAAGGGTCGGGATTAGGCGGGCACTTGACAACTTTCGAAGCCAAAGGCTCCACCGTCTCGTCGTATGAAGATGGTGGGGTATCGTATGGGTCGACAGAACTACTCGCTGCACCCACTTGCGGAGGAACCAAAGAAAGGATTCCTTTAGTAGTGAGGGGGGGATCGAAGACACTCAAACTGCCGTCCGAATCTGCACCCTGGTTGCTCTCACTTGAGCTCAGGTCGTGCGTAGCTTTGGTTGATGCATCGTTGTGGCTGGCCTTGCATGTTTCAGCAATGGCCTTGGCTTGCACTTTGCGGGCTCTTGAAATCCCAGAGCTAGGGATGGGTTTGGGTGGCGTCCGAGGAGGTTCTTGATCGGCATCCAGTATCAATTTCTGCGACGAAGGGTGTTGTAGTATTTCGATCCGAGGATTCGGTGGCGAGGATGAGGACAGACCTTGAGCTTGAGGTTCAATGTCTGCATCGGGCGACAGGTTGCTGGCATCCCCCAAATAATCCCACAGCGACCCAAAATCACCAAGCCTTGGAGAGCGAGTCCCCGAGCTCAATTGGGTTTGCCGAGAGCTTTTTGAGGTGGGCTCATCCTGATTTGCTACCTCGGTAGACTGGGAAGCTGGGAGAGGATCACGGTGGCGATAAGGTGCATGTGAGCTGCCGCCGCCGTAGGTAGGCGTGCGGAGGAGGTTTATCACCGCAGTGAAATCCCAGTTCGAATTAGACTCAGCAGACGATGGCATTGAAAGATTTGACGACGAAAACAATAAGGTGTGTGGAGCAAGGAGGCTTCAACAATAGGCGCCCGAGATAGATAAGGGCGGGGTTGTTGATATCGATGGGAAGAGATAGGAAAGACTGGCTGACTGAAGAAATCACACGAGTCAAAAGACTATGAGAACGAGTCTGCAAAAGAAGTTGAAAGCATCAAGATGCAGAAAATCCACATGTTGGTCAAAGGACCCGTATAGAGAACGTTGGCATGGAAAGCAGGAAGGAGAGAGAGAGAGGGAAGAGGGAGGGAGGAGAAAGACTGAGTATTCAGAAGGAGAGACGGGAAGAGCCAGCAGACGGTTAGGCATGGGGCGACTCGGGCTCGAACGGGGCGGAGTCATCGGGTGGCGGTGAACAACTGTCACTTTTCTGCCATATTTAACCGCTTGCTTGTTATAGCTCACATCCTAGCTAGTCCTAAAGAAGAGTAGCCTTCTTTCGGAGATGCGAGAATGATAATCCGGACTTGGCGGGCGTACACGAGCTAAGCTGTTTTCAGAAATCTGGGGATGGAGTCATGACGACGTCATGTTCCAGACTTGGATCTGGACTCAATTGCAAAGAGGACCAAGTGGAATTCCCTGATTCTCTACAAGCCTCGGTATCCCAAATAGAGCCAGAGGCCATCCACATCCGTCAGACTATGACGATTATCTCGATCTTGCCCCATGATTGGGGCCGGGGTAACTCCCTCATGATGACGTTCATTCGCTGGTATCTCTTCCATGGAAACGCCCCTGGATACGACACAGAGGGCTCAGATGGCGTGTGATAGTGAATGTGGAAGATAATTAAAACGACGTCATCGAGTGGTTTCTATGGGAGTCCAATGTTATATAAAGTCCTCTTCATCAACCTCCTCGAACCTTTCTTCTCCATCAACCAACAATTCCAATCAATCAACCAAGCTTCTAAACTCTCTACTACAACTTCTTTCAAGAACACCTTCCGTTCAAATAACAATCAATCAACATGTCTGACACCGGTCGCAAGGATTTCTCTACCAGTAAGTGCCTACTGCAGCTGCTCTCCTTGTTGCGGACTTCACAACTCACATGCATCTACAGAGGCCAAGGAGGAGTTCACTCCTGACTCCACCAAGTCCACCCAGGACAAGGTTAAGGAGACCTTCACCGACACCACTGATCGTCTTGCTCGTGGCACTCAGTCCGACAGCTCCAAGTCTACCACTCAGGAGGCTTTCGACAAGACCCAGCGCTCCCACGACAACACTGCCCACGGCGGTTCTTCCCAGTCCATGTCAGTATCCCCGATCCTTGTCCTAAAAAGTTTATTGATACTAAACAAACTATCGAATAGTGGCGACAAGATCAAGAACGCTGTCGGCCTCGGCGACAACTAAATCGGTTTCATAATACCCAAGCACAACTGTAATATGGGTTGCGGCGGACTTTCGGTTTCCATCATGTGAATGATTATTTCCGGAGGAACACTGGCGGCTGCGGGCAGATTGTTCTTATGATGATTTTCATGAGTTGACGATACCAAGCCTTTGATTGTACTACTCTCACTAGGTTTAATACAACATTTAACCGAATTTTGGTATCCTTCGTAGTTTGAAAAAAAGTATCCTCAATCTCGTTTACCTGCCAGCTATTGCATCTCGTTCACGAACGAGTGTCTGGAGCACCCTTTCTAGCTCTTTGCATTTTGCTCGAGCTCCAGGAAGATCGCCGGGAAGATTATGGAGCATACTTATCATAGTATCCAAATTCTGGACTGTCTCAAAAACCTTTATCACATCCGCCTCTTTTGCCATGACATCTTCCAGACGAAGTTCCTTGCCTCTGTTTCTTGAAAGAGAACTGATCTTGTCTCGATACTCACTCGCTTTCGCACTGAGCGACTTGGTATTCCGTGTCCACTCGGCCGTTGATGCTGGGAGATCAGCAGGCGTCTGAAAAGCTTCATTATTTTGGAAGTCATCCAATTGCGCCCGCAACGTAGCCAGCTCCCTTTCCAGATAGTTTTGTAGTGCGTCCACTTTAGACATTTGCTCCTGCACGTTGAACTCCTCCGTTGTGAGGTCAATGATAGACTGACCGAGGTCTACTGCGTCGGTGCTCAATGCTCCAAGAACTGCAGTTGTTTCCGCCAGATCGTCAAGACTCTGTCTGCCGCTCTCATCAAGCGAGAGCTCTATCTCATCCAGAATTTCGAATTTCTTGGTCTCCTCGCTTTGCTCCTGAGACTTGAAGGCCTGGACAGCTTGCTCGCGTGCTTCATGCAATATCATTGCCTCTTCATCCGCCGTATCATTGGCGGCAGCCAGGGCAAGTAAGGTCCGTAATGTGTCTTCATTCCGTTCAAACTTAGGGATTGGGTTAGGCGCGTAGTGCCGGCTCAGCCAGGCGTTCACATAGGCCCAATCCTTGGCTTCGATGGCAGCTTGACGTGCCTTGGCGGGGGAGAAAAGAGGACTTTCCATGGAGAGTATGGCACTTGATAAGAGTAACAAGGAAGAGTCTATGTAGAAAAGGCCTCGTATGGTTTGAAAACAGAGAAGAATGACGCAAAGCCAACGATTAATGCATCCATGATCATGGTTGCCAGCTCTTTCTTCTCCGCGGGGTGTGTTTGTTCCTGAAAACGCCTGACATAAGCAAGTGCCCGCCGCTCCTTTTCCGCCCGCGGGCCTTTCTCCGCTTCTGTTGCGATACTCCGCAGCTCTCCCAATCATCCTCTACACACAGCTGGCTCAGGCGCCATTTGATCAAGTCACCATGGCGAGCTATTTCCCGCCGAATGCACATCTAACGAGTCATACATTGACAAAGACCTCTTCTCCAGCTTCCTCTCCGCTCTCCCCCCCGACCCAGCAGCGATCCAATGCGCTGTCCAACCGATTGACAAGTGTACTTTCCGCCTCGTACGCGGATTCAGACATTCGTGATGCGTTGGAGACTCTCAGTCTCCGGGGAATCCATAATACTGCAGAAGTTCGAAGGCAACTTCGTCTAGACGTTCAGAAGGAGGTTGTCGACTGCAATGCCGAGATTGTGCGCGACTTTGGAAAGGTTGCGGAGGTAAGAAGTTCCCAGGAAGCCAGAGCTGGGAGCGGAGTGATACTGACAGTATATGATCTCATAGCAACTGAAGCGGATCGGAACGGTCATCACGAACCTCAATCAAACATGCGAGGAGATGCGCAAACATATTGTTCTCGCCAAACAGGATACAATGCCCGTTCTTGAAGAAGCGTCTGCGCTGATGAGGCAAAAGACCGAGGCGGAGACCAAACAGCAGCTGCTCGATGTGTTCACACAACACTTTGTGGTCCCGGAGGAGGAACTTCTGGTATTGACGGCTGCAGAGGAACTGATTGACGACCACTTCTTCGAGGTCCTTGCCCGTGTGAAGCAGGTGCACCGGGACTGCGAAGTGCTTCTGGGTGGGGAGAACGAGCGACTTGGTCTGGAGCTCATGGAAAAGAGCACCAGAAGCCTGAACTCCGCCTATCAGAAGCTCTATCGATGGATCCAGAAAGAGTTCCGGTCTCTCAATCTGGAAGACCCTCGCATCAGCAGCTCCATCCGGCGCGTTCTCCGCGTGCTGGCGGAGCGCCCCAGCTTGTTTCACAGTTGTCTGGATTTCTTCGCCGAGGCTCGGGATTATGTTCTCTCTGATGCCTTCCACTATGCTCTTACGGATGCAGTTGCCGGGGGCGGCGGTGACCATCAAGTGAAGCCGATCGAGTTTTCTGCCCACGATCCTCTGCGCTACATTGGAGATATGCTGGCTTGGGTGCACTCAACCACCGTTTCGGAGCGGGAGGCCCTGGAATCCTTATTTGTTGATGACGGCGAGGAGCTCGCCAAGGGCATCCAGGCCGGACTAAGTAGTGAGCCGTGGTCACGCATCGACGAAGACCAAGAAGTCACCTTCGACGGACAGAAAGCTCTCAGCGATCTTGTCAACCGTGACCTGGTCGGCGTCTCACGGGCCCTTCGCCAGCGAGTCGAATTGGTCATCCAAGGCCACGATGACCCCGTTACATGCTACAAGGTGGTTAATCTCCTCTCCTTCTACCGAACCACCTTCGCCAAGCTCCTTGGCTCCCAATCCAATCTGGCCGAGCTCCTCGAAACCTTGGAGAGATTCACCTTCCGCCATTTCGAAACCCTCATGCAGGAGGAAGTCGGCAGTCTTTCGACCGACCACTCGGCCCTCGCCCCGCCAGATGATCTCTCGCCACCGCAATTCATCCAAGACGCCCTTGAATCGCTCACCCTTCTCATGAAATCGCACGACATCTCCTTCGGCGCAGAGGAACTACCCTCCTCCCCCTCCGACAACAACAGCAACAGCACCCAAGACCCCACGCCCAACAGATTCACTCCAGTCCTCCGCTCTGCCTTGGACCCGTTCCTCGACCTCGCCAAATCCACAGCCCAGGACCTCCCTCCCACCCCACGGACCATCTACCTCACGAACATCCACCTCGCCACCCGCGCAGCCCTCACCCCGTACCCCTTCGCCAGCGCCACCCACCTCACACCCCTCAGCGCGACCCTCTCCGCCCTGCGCATGGATCTCCTCGCAATCCAACATAACTACCTCCTCACCGAATCCGGCCTCCAGACTCTCCTCACAGCCCTGGAGCCCTTCTCTCCCCCGTCCGCCACCAAAATCACCGACCCAGCCAACCAACAAGCCCAACAAGCCCAGCAGCAGCAGCAGCAGCCCCAACTCTCCGATATCGCTCAGATCACCAGCCTGCCCGCCTTCCAGCCCGACGCTCTCATCCTCACCAGCCAGCAGCTCGACGATTTCTTGCCGTCGGCGCTCATGGACGCCACGGATCATCTGAAGCGGGTGCAGAGCGCGACGTTCGTGAAGAGCGTGACCGAGGAGGCGGTCGAGGCGTTCTGTCGGGACTTCGAGTTCGTCGAGGGGATGATCATCGGGGCGGATGAGGCGCGGAGGAGCTCGTTGGCCAAGGGTAGTGATGATGGCGAAAGTGTGAATGCGGCGGAGGAGAAGGGTGCAGACGAAGATGTTGAAGAAGACGGGGAGGACGAGAAGGAATTGGGGCTGAGAAAGTTGTTCCCGCGGACGACGGGCGAGATTCGGGTTTTGCTGAGCTAGTAGATACTAGAGAGGCAATGTGTGCGCGGTGTGTAATGTGTATATGTGTTTGGTGTACTTACTCTCTGGTTTGATTTGTTGGAAGCGTAAATAGACATATAGGTTTGTTGATGCGAGTACTAGTACTGTTCTCTCGGCAAGAGACCCAACTTATATAGAAGATGTCTCAAGCCCATTTCCACCCAAGTTCCCCACCATGTTCGTCCCCGTCAAAAGCCCTAACCCTGTCTCACCATGATCCCATACGGATCCCGATCCTTCTCACTAACCGCCACCTCACACGAGCCATCGGCAAACGCCTCCTTCCACTCCTCCGCATCCTTCTGCTGCAGCCCTTCCTCCCTCTGCACCCGCCAGTTCGCCTCCACCTCCTTGGCCAACTTCTCCCGCATCACGGCCCGCAGGTACCCGCGCTCGGTGTTCGAGTGCGCCAGCGCCACGACCACCGACCCGCGCTCGATGGCCGCCAGCGCCTCGTGGTGGCTCAGCTCGCCCGTGAACAGCAGATCGGGGATCGGGGATTTCTTCATCAACACGCCCGACCCGGAGCCGGGGCACACGCCCACCGTGCGGATTTGCAGGGTATCCACCGAGGCGCCCTGCGGGATGGCGATGGGGATCCCGCCGGGGAACCCGACGCCCTGGGCGATGCGGTCGATGATGGCGGTCAGCGGCTCCGGGTCCGTGAAGGTCACGATGCGGCCCATGCCGGCGGTGTCCTCGATGCCCTCGGGGAGGGGGGGCGGGGACGGGAGGATGGTGTGGCGGGTGTGCTTGGGGACTTTGGTTGCCGGGGAGGCCGGTTGCGGGGCGGGGTAGATTGGGTGGGAGTACGTGGCGGAGGAGGACTGCGTGAGGGCGGGTTTTGTCGGCGTGATGGGCGTGAGGGAACCGGTGACGATGTCGCATAGCCAGTCGGCCATGCCGCCGGGGGTCGCGTCGATCGCCGTGTGCGGGGAGTACACGCTGATGCCTTCGGAGGCTAGGCGGAGGAGGGTCTGTTGTTGCGGGTCGCTGAAGGTGAGGGATTTGAGGCCGCGGAAGATGATCGGGTCTGTGCATTTGCGCGACAAGGGAAGGGGGGAAGGTCAGTTGTGGAAAACGAAAGGGTTCAGGCACGGATACGGGGAAAAGCGTACGGTAGGCTACGACGATGGAGTCGCGGCGTGCGATGGCCTCGTCGGCGACGGCTTTGGTGAGGTCAATCGCGAGAAGAACGGAGTTCTTCTGGCGGCGCGATGCGTTGAAGGGGGCCTCGAGGAGTACTGCGTCATTGGCTCTGTTAGTGGATGGAGGAGGCGTGGGGATGAGGTTGATGGAGAGAGCTCACGGCCGGTGTTGTCCCAGCTTTTGTCGGCCAATGACTCAGGGTAGCTATGGGAAGAAGCATTAGTGTCAGATAGCGGCGTGTGAGCCCGAGACAAGATCACATACAGCTTCCTTATGGAGCTCACGACAGCCTGGGTGAACGGCGATGAGGCGGGGTTCACAGAAGCAGCCATTGTGGAATAAAGACGAGACGACGATCGCCGAAACAGAGAGTTCATAGACACTGTGTGAGTCGAAGCAAGTATGGGATGTTCCGGTGCGTGTTGCTTCTTGATATGACCTGAATTGAGCTTGTTCACTGTGTTTTTCCTTCGTTCTAGATCAATAAATGAAGCTAGAGGAGTTAAGAGGAGGATCAATCTCGCAAGAAGCCGAGGATGAGCTGGCGCCACAACCGCACAGACGCAGTCTAACCCCAAATGCATACTAGTTTCCCACACCAGCCACAGCCGGGTTTCGCTGACCAATATCGCAGTGCAGAGAAGCCTTCCTCTGTCTGAGTCTGGGGGTTCCGTCATTCTACATCGGAAGAAGCATCACCACCGCCCGCGCGAAGTTTACCGCCAAAAAAAAAGCCCAACTGCAGGATTTCATCCCATCGCAACACATCATAGTCTCTAAGAAGCACTTTCTTTTTACCTAATAACAACCACAACAACAACAGCCTCCCTCTTTCTCGACCCCTCTCCCACTCCTTCACACAGCACTACTTGATGTACTCCCGCACCACCTTCTCCTCGCTGAGCAGAAGTTGCCGCTATCTTCTCCGCACTCCGGGCCTCCCTCCGAAGTCGACTTTTTCCCTCTCTGCGCGCTCATTCTCCGCCGTCCACGCAGCCATGGCCGACGCGACCTCCGGTGTCACCGCTGACTTGCTGAAGAGCAAGCTCTTTGATCAGCTCCAGGCGCAACACGTGGAGATTGAAGATCTGTCGGGTATGTCCTCTTGTTGAACCCCCAGTTTCAATCGTTGCTGATTAATTCTGCTGCGTTCCCCGCGTGTGGGATTCTTGTGCTATGCTTCTCGGATTGATGATGGATCTCGAATTATTAACAGCCTTTTTTTCCCCCAATTATAGGTGGCTGTGGCCAGGCTTTCCAGGCGGTCATTGTCTCTTCCCAGTTCGATAAGAAAACCATGCTCGCCCGTCACCGCTTGGTCAACTCGGTCCTCAAGGCCGAGATCGCTGCTATCCATGCTTGGACACCCAAGTGCTACACCCCCGAGCAGTGGCAGGCTCTGCACCAGGGCTGAGAGGCCTTTGTCCTGTTTTGAGACTTTGGGTTGCAGCCGAGACTACGGGCATCTTCGGCGATGGAAGGTATATTCTGGGTATCCATCAACTCGTACAAGGGGTAGAATCTTGTACACGGCTATAATCTGTGGGCGTTGGAGAGGGGTGTTCCATGTGCGAGGCTTTGCACACTGCCGGCCATGTCTAAAGTTCTGCTATGGTTGCGAGAAGGAATCTATCATGAATAAATATTATACGGTTATTCGCATGTATAACAGATTTCTATAGTTACAGAATAGATTACCCGCGTCACGCCGTTCGGCTCGCTTAGCCCAGCACCTTCTCAGCCGCGGAGACTGTGTATAACACATCAGTAAATGAAGAGTGTTGCGGGTGGAAATCTGTAGTGTAGACATACCGTTGACACCGATGTTGTCGGGCTCCACGAAGGCCTCCTTGACCTTGCCGTTCTCGACAACCAACGCGTAGCGCTTGCTGCGGTTGTTTCCGAAGATGGAAGCGCTGTCGAAGGTGACATCAAGCGCGTCGGAGAACTTGCCAGTAGGGTCACCGAGGAACCGGACCTGCCACTCGGATTTTAGTTGGTCTGTTGACATGACTGGAAAAGATAATGGGTGTACTTACGCCGCTCTTGCCAGAGGCATCAAGAGACTCGCCCCAAGCCTTGGTCCTGTGCGCGGAATTAGCTTACTATCCAACCCTCACCAATTGCTAACTTACACAAAAGGATCATTGACGGCAACAACAAACACCTGGCCGGCCTCCTTCAGCTTGGGGTGGTTGATGTAACCGGGCACGTGGGTGCTGGAGCAAGCGGGGCCTACACAACAAGACCGGTCAATATCGATCCTCCGTTCCGACATGGTATATAGCATGCTACAGATGACTAGCTCTGAACTCAATTTGGGGATGAAGCCTAAGGAAGTCATGCGTGGCTAGCAAGGTTTCAGGCGCAAAACCGGGAATGACACATACTGAAAGCGGCGGGAACACCAATGATAACTCCCTTGCCCTTCAGCTCCTTGGCGAGGTTGACTTTGTTGCCCGGGGAGTTCTCGACCAGGACATCAAGGTCGGGGATGGCATCGCCCTTCTGAACAAACGCCGGGGCGGTGTTGTGGAACAACGCCCTCTGGGACAGGACGCGAGGAACGCCAGCGGTCAAACGGCGAGCAGCGAACATTGTGGATTGACGATTGACTGGATCAGTTGAATCGCGGGGAGGAGATTGCTTGGGTTTGATGTTTCAAAATTGCCACTACCCCTGAACAGAGTTGAGGTACAAAGTTTGTCGGATTCAAGAGAGGGGGGAGAGAGAGGATGAAGGAGTGGGGGGGAATTGTTCCTGAGGAGCGAGAGTGGACCGGGCAGCTCCCCAATCCCGCCGGGCAGAACATTATTATTTCGTCATAGCCGCTTCCGCCTACAGCGGGCCCGGTCTTTAACTTATGCCATTGATCGAGGATGGATAACCAGCTTCGTCCTACTTAGTTACAGATCAATACAATCAGCCCTTACATGACGGTCCAAAGTGTCGTCTGGGCACCCCGTGGTCGCGTTTCTTTTCTTTGTCTGCCGCGTCCCTGCATCCGTTGGCGCAATTCGTTTGTCGTCCGCCTATACTTTGTGGGTCATCACATCCAGCTCACTATTACCTCAGCTAGTTTGCCAAACCCATCCATTCACATCCACTGGAAAGTGTGGTTTACTACCATATGTATTGAATTTCTCGGAATTATCTACTGCCTTTTCCTTAATCGTCCCCTAGACCCACTGCGGAACTCGCGCCTTGACACTTCCTGGCTCCTGCCGCTTGAAGCTCCTGCCACTTCCTCCCCAGCCTACTCCTACTATAACACACTGCTACGAGCCTACGACACACGATTCGACATGCATTCCGCCAGCACTTACAGCCCGGTACCATCGTGCTTATCTACGCGGTCGACTATTCGAATTATGGGTGTAGGGAAGTGTAACGATTTCCTCACATCGGGGAATATAAGACTACCATGCCCCTGTGAACGAGGCATCTATCCTGTTTATCTTGACAAGTCCAAGCAAGTCAGCCAAAGTGATCCATGCAAAGAATGCAGCCATACACTTGCGATGCATGACGATTACGAACATCCATCTGAAGGCTCGCTGTCCGTCAGTGATACAGAGGAGCAACAGCTTGTTGAGACCAATGGAGAATTCGAAGGTTACAATCTGCCTGTACTGCTCTCATATCCTAGCTAACAGTGTGTCACGGTCATAGTCCTGTCTTTGCCGCCGGAATATTGTCCTCGAGAGAACACGGTTTCGGTTCTTGCGGACCTTATCAGAGCCAATTTAGTCACTCATGTCCGGGGGACTCCCGCCAGCGGCAAAACAACGCTTACTCGCCTGCTTTACAACCATCTCATCAAAGACGGCTGGAACGTCTTGTTAATGCCCACATATGGAACATACCTTAAAAATTATTCTGCCCGTGCTGGCGGTCAGCCTTGGGTTAGGCTCGTCCGTAAGCTCATGGATGAATTCCCATACCAGAAGCCAGCAGTCTTTTCCTCCCCAAGCTCTCTGCTTATTGTGGACGAGGCACAGGCGTCATACAAAGATGATTTGTTCTGGGGCGTAATCATCAAGGAACAACTCGAAGGTGCTAAACAGACCGATATGCGAATTTGCCTCGTCTGTGCTTATGGAAGTCCAACCACCGGCGTCGAGCCTGGTACCTTTACTCCAGCCACTCTCAACACGACACAACGCATTAGCCTCACTGCGGATCAAGCCCCGTACTCCCCGCCAATTGGCATTTTCTTCGACAGGCCCGAGTTTGACGACGCTATCTCTCGAAAGATCAAATACCTGTATTTCGATAGCTTTGCTCTAGATGAAGAAGCTCGTGACTACATATTCTCTTTCACAAATGGACATCCCGCAGCTGTCGATGGGATTTTCACTTACATTTATCACGTATGTCGTGTCCACTAGTTTATCTCGACAGTTATCTGGGATCAACTATGAATTGAAATACAGGACTAATTGATTACACCAGTTTTATCACAGCAAAATCGCACATAAGGAATTATCCGTGATTACGAAAGAGAGTGTTACGTCCTGCTTAGAGGAACAGGAGGATGTTTGGAGATATCTCCTTCATGGGTGCTCTATCAAGCGCTCTTTTCCAGATCATAGAATGGAAGATGGAGATGCCGATATCCTTACAGAAATTTTGGAGCATGGAAGCATGAAATGGAACCGAGAAAATGCTGCAATGGGTCGATGTTACCTGAACGGCTGGATTCATAAGACCCTCGTGTGTGACACTCCCAACTCTGTCGGAAAGGAATACGTTGTTCTTCCGTCACGCCTACATGAAAAGTAAGTTCCTCTTATACATTACCTCCTTTGAAATATGCTTAACAAAAATAGGTGGGTCGAACGTCACATTGGCAATGAAAAAGCCCTTCTTGGCGCACGATTTGGTACACTTCAAAGTCTTTGTATTGCTGCCCTCTCTCGCTTTTCCGTCATGTCTTTACGACACTGCTCTGAGGGAAAGAAGTTGTCCAGCGGAACAGGATGTAGACCTGTTGAAGCTCAGTATCAGGATGAGTTTTATAAAGCTTTCGGGTCGATCGCAGGGCGGGCGGTTCCAATTCCCTCGGAGTGGTCCAGAACGAAGGATGGCCGAGTGGACTTCTATATACCCGAAAAGAAATGGGCCATCGAATTTCTCCGTGATCATAGGGATATTGACAAGCATGTCTCGAGGTTCCACAAGGGAGGAGCGTACTATGACTGGTTACAGGAAGGCAGAATTCAAGAATGGATTGTCATCAATTGTGCGACTACTTTGCATACCAAAGGTCAGTTATATTCTCTCTGACTCGTTTCATGTTGCTGATAGCTCACAGTCCACCCTGAACCAAATCTCATCCATGCCATCTTCCTAGCAGATTACACAATGGTACGAGTCTTTGATCATCAGGGGACAAAATTAGATGAAGCCCGCCTTCGAAACTGACATGGAATTTGTCTTCGTATCATTATGTGTCTCAAGGTTTACTACGTTCTTTTTGCGGTTGTCCTTCAATGAAATTCCTAATGTTAGCGAGTGCGTCATTCTTACAATATGACCCTACACAATAATGGACATCATCTTGCCTTGCTTTATGCCTAACAGTCACCTTCTCCTCGGGAGGACCATTCTCAAGAGAACGCGTTCGAGTCACTGTGCATGTCTGGTATTGAACTGACTGATTAGCTGTGACCGCGGCGATTTGTAGAGTTATCGATCACATTTATTGGCTCAAATGAGGTATTGCACGGTTCTATCTGATCTTCTCTTAGTCTTCGTCTTCTTCTTCTCCCTCTCTGGCCCTGTCGGCTATCGAATTATTATTCAGCGAGGCTCGGCGAGGGATCGGCAGCCGTTGCCGAATCCCGTGAACCTCCCCTCACTGAATGGATCCCCGATCTCCATCATTGTTTGACGATCATAATGGAGGTGGGCTGGTGGGTGAAAAAGAGACAGGAAAGACGGGAAAGGGACTGAACACTTACTTGTAGTTAATTTACTGAGTAGGTTGAATAATTCACTCATTCTCATGGCTGATGCCATCACATTCCTAGCCTCGAGCCTAATGAACTGTCTGAAATTTCCCTTCCCCTCTTCGCTTCCTCTAGACGGTAATCATTTGTCGGAGCCGAAACGAGACACCAGTCAAGGCACTGCAGTCTTGATTTCTGCCCAGGTGATCGTGGACGCACAGGATAACGGCCCCTCCCATCGGCCCCAGCCTATCTCCATGTCATCCCCCCCATCCTGCCCATCCTTCCCATGCAGCTCGTCTGCAACCGTTCAGACGCACTGACAGCTTCCAACCGGCTTTCCCGCCACAATTGCTCGCCAAATCGCGCGCTTCAGGTATTTATTTTTCTTTTTCCCTTTCCCCTTCCCCTTCCAACCACGTTTCGTGATCTTCGCTCCCAATCCTGGTTTTTGTCATTTTTTTCTGGCCAGTGACGTTGTTTAGTCTGTTGAGAGAGTCCCAGTTGGGTTGGCCCATCTTGAGTTGTCCTTCGTTAGCTCCGAGGCCCCAAAATTTTAGTGAGGGTTAGAATTCTTGTCTTCCCCTCCTATCTCCTTGCTTTGGGGAGGAAAGGAATCCAAGCCATTTCGGGCAGATCAAAGCCTGGCAAATACGCAGGAGGGGGGGGAGAATTGAAAAACAATGCAAATGATCACAAAGGCGTTATTTCTTGAGTTTCTGGTATTGTCTGGGGTCGAGGATTCAGGTGAAGGGAAGGAGTTTATATTAGTCTTAGTCAATAGTCTGAATGACCACCTAACCATTGAATGTTGTGGCTAGTGACCACACACTAACCAGTGCTAGGTACTAATGAGTTACTGCCTGTGACTCTTGGGGCAACCCACTTTCCAGGCTACTACAATGAACTACTACTACACAAAGTCTACTGGCGAGGTATATAATGTCAAATGGATGAAACAGCACATCCCAGCGGTTCAGCAGATAGTGTAGATGATGCTGGTGATGATGATGATGATGATGATGATGATGATGATGATGATGATGATGATGATGATAATCTTTTTGAGTACTAAGACAAACAAAAAAAAAAAAAAAAAAAGATAAACATCTTACTCGAATGGATCATTTTCCCCTTCTTAGACATCAAAAACACCTACTGGGTACGGTCCAACTCTACCTACCAAGCCAATGCCGCCCGCCGCCGCCCGGCCAAATCAAGTCAATGGTTCGAACCCCAAAAAACCATCCCCCCCTCCTCTCCTCCTCCTCCGAGGTCTTCTTCCTAAAGATGGACTGATTGATGGACTGCCAGTCTGCCAGTCTGCCACAACCACAACCCAGTCCCCACCTTCAAACCAAAAACCCAGCGGATTAACTAATAGTAATTCATCTCCATTCCCAATTCCTACCATCCCTTCAACTTACCTGCACCACATTACCTCCACCACATTACCTCCACCACACCACTAATCCATCTATTGCACCGCGCCCACTCGGCCACTCGGACGGAGGGCCTAAAGTCGAGTCTCCAGTCCATGCTATTCTCTTTTTCCCCTTCTCTCTTGCCTTACCCACACCCACCACTCCCACCTTCCCCCTCCCCCATTCCTCTTTTTTTTTTTTATTTTTTTCCCCTTCTCCCTTCCTTCTTCTTTCCTCTATCTTGATTGTGTCTTTCATTTTTTTCCTATTCCTTTTATTTATTTTTATTATCGGCTCATCGCCGATAGTCATATTTTCTTACTTCTTTGCGATCTTTGAATTGAGCGCCCGACTGGTTCCCTTTCCTTCCCGGTCGCTGCGACGTGTGTTGAGCCTGTTGCTTGTTCGATCGGTCGCGACCCATCTAGCCCAGGATGGACGGTGGCCAGACCTCGACCAGCGCCGCCCCTGCCGGCAACTCCAGCGATTTTGTAAGTCTTCGTCGTGATCTTCGTGAAACCCATACGCAAGAACATCATATTGTCGTATTGTCTTACTGCCTGTCTCAGTTGCTAATCATCATGCTCAGGTACGGAAACTCTACAAGTGAGTCTCCTCCGTTTATCTTTTGTCTCCCGTTCCTTGATCGTCGCTTTTCGCCTCTCATTCAACCCTGTCCTCCCCGACGCCTCGCCTCCTCAGCTTTCTATCCCACCTCTGCGCTAAATCTCAGTGTCGACGATCATTTATCTCACCATCAATATGGAAATACTGACGTTTTCTAAAGGATGCTGGAGGACCCGTCCTATGCGGAAATTGTGCGATGGGGTGATGAAGGGGACAGCTTCGTCGTCTTGGAGGTACCTCCCGACCTCGCCTGCGATCGCAAACCTTTTGATTAACTGGCTTCATCTTCTTAGTGTGAGAAATTTACAAAGACTATTCTGCCGAAGCACTTCAAACACAGCAACTTTGCCAGTTTCGTGCGACAACTCAACAAGTACGATTTCCACAAAGTGAGGCAGAACAACGAGGAGAACGGACAGTCACCTTATGGGCAAAACGTAAGTGTGCAGCGATGCGCAGCGGAAGCTAGTCTTATCCTGACCAGACTTGCAGGCGTGGGAATTCAAGCATCCTGAGTTCAGAGCCAACAGCAAGGAGTCCCTCGACAACATCCGCCGGAAGGCTCCTGCCCCGCGCAAACAGACCCAGACCACCGACGACTCGGTCCCTACCCAACAGATCGATCTCTTAAATCAACAGATCGTGGCACAGCAACAACAAATCCAGCACTTGTCAGACCGCTATGCGCAACTGACTGTCGATCATCAGTTGATGTTGCAGGAAGTGATGCGAGTTCAGAAAACGGTCCTCAACCACGAAAGTGTTATTCACCAGGTTATGAACTACCTACTCTCCGTCGACGCCCGCCAACGGCGGGACAGCAAGGCGGCTGCGTCTTTTCAGGCCCAGGGTCAAGCAGGCTCGACCCTCAGCCCTTCCCAGGTGGCTACGATGGACGATGAGCCTTCCTCGCCCTTGCAACAGGCCACCAAACTTCTAAATGATATGAACGCGGAGATTCAGTTTAACCTCGTCGGTCTCGATGGGGTTGCTGATCCGTCCAAGGCTGCCGGGGCGGTTGTATCTACCCCTGGCATGGATGGCGCCTCACGCAATGGCGTGGTGCGCGCACCTGCTGCGGCAGCAAACCCGGCATTGGTGTACTCGAAGTTGAACGGTGATGTTGAACCGGTGGTTTACCCTGTTGGTGCGACCAATGGCATTGATCCCATGTACGGCGAGCATGTCAAAAATGTTCCCTACCCGATGCCGAAACAGGAGGTCGACGACTCTCGGAGACAACAAGTTCAGCAGGTCCAACAGATCCAGCAAGTACAACAAGTACAGCAGGTTCAACAAGTCCCCGACAACCGTAAGAAGAGCGCAAATGTCGATCCTGGTTGGGCTCGCAGCCCCCGTATCTTGCTGGTGGAAGACGATCAGACGTGTCGTCAGATCGGTGGAAAATTCTTATACTCATTTTCTTGCATCATCGATACTGCGGTATGCTTCTCGCAAATCATCCTTCTCCCGTTTATTGCTGACATGGCTCCCAGCTTGATGGATTAGAGGCCGTGACGAAAGCCCAGGCCAACCCTGGATATGATTTGATTCTCATGGATATTATTATGCCTAACCTGGATGGTGTCTCTGCCACGCATCTTATCCGCCAGTTTGATAGGACTCCTATCATAGCCATGACCTCCAATATCAGGAGCGACGATATCCAGCTCTACTTCCAGCATGGTACGTCATTTCTCTCGATCTTCCGCTCTTAAAGCTATCACAGTAGACTGACATGAAACAGGTATGGACGATGTCCTTCCAAAACCTTTCACGCGAAAGAGTCTTCTCGATATGCTTGAGAAGCACCTGTCCCATTTGAAGGTCGCATCGCAGAATATAGAAGCTCCTCAGCCAGCCGTTCCTGTCACAATGGCTGCTCAGAGCTCCGCCGCCCATTCTATCAAAGAGGATAGCTCCCCAGGCCAGTCACCGGCAACATCGGTAAACAACTGGCAATCACCGGGCCAGTACCCAGGCATGGCCGCTGTACCTCATAGCATGCAGCCTGTCCCGAGTCAGTATGTTCCCGCAACCCCGGGCCCTGCTGCATACGCCGTCGATCAGAACGGCGTTCAATATACCACTCCCACTGTGGCCCTTGCCCCAGCAGCACCCGCTGCTCGGCCACAGGTACGACGGCAACTTTCGGAAATGTCTAGTGCGGGTGAAAACCCGGGCATGGCCAAGAGGCCGCGGATGTACGCACATCCGAGCCAGCCTATCGTCAGCTCCATGCAGGCCACACGAACTGGCTAGCTGGCGTGCGGCTATCTTTGTATTACTCCCCACCACCCCCGCCTCCCCTTCACAATAGCGATGACTAGATTCTATTCATCTACTTCCTCTTCATCTCTCCGCTCGTTGATAGTCCCATCCTCGAGCTTTTCATTCCATGAGTTGACATAATCTTTTTGCAATGGTTATTGAACCATACCTTGTTGTGACATTCAGGAGTTGTGCTACATTTTTTCCTGTTTGGAATTATACGATATATCACGGTGTCGGGGCGCGTCATAATATTTGCATTTGATTTGGGGACCCGCCTGCAGCAAAGCTGGTCAGTTGTTATTCGTATAAGTGACCGGGCTAGTCCTGAAGGTCTCTGTTTCCTGGCATCCAGATTTCGTGGTCCGTGACGGCCCACGTGCTGGCAGCATTACCATCATCTTTTTGTACGTATTATCAGTTTTGTGGATCGTTGAGGCGCTGGCATTCGTGTAACCTCATTGTGGGGGTTTAAGGCAACTTCTTTACAAGTCTTTGTTATCTTATCGAAGGTGCAGAAAAGCCTCTTCAAGAAGATTTGTGATTCAAGATACATACAACAGCCTTCCTATGCATCAATACCATAGAGTTTCTTTCCATAAAGCAACCAATGCCAATCAATGCTGTTGTCGAGGCCAGGAAATTTGTTTCTGTTATGTATGTACAGCACACGTAAGTTACCAAAGAGGGATACGCCTACAGTAACCGTGGACACCACCTTCAGAGGGGCAGATCTGATCATCGCCCACCGCAACCCAAGCTTTCAGCGGACCCCCGCCCCCCCCCCGATCGAGCGTTCATCAGCTAAATTATGGCAGCTTGAGTTCTAGACCCACGGTTCCTGAACAAGGGGGCTTCCTTCGAGTCCAGGAGGGCCCAGACCATGGAGGACGTTCTGGACTCGACGACTCCCTACTGCGGTTAGCAGCTGTGGCTGAGGACTCTCCGGTCACCTGACCAGTCTTTTCACGTGACTACGGACGGTAGCAACGAATGTAGGCAAACAAAGCAAACAATCGCAAGGTGGGATGAAGTCTGACTCCGACGGAGGGACAAAGGCTTGGCGGAGATTTTGCGACTCCCGGTCCCAACGCGGTTGTCACTTTGCGTCGGCATCACCCCCCGTCCGCTTCATCTTCGACCTTACGAACTTTCTCTCAGCTCCGGAGAGACTTTGACTCGCTTGGGTGAAGCTGGGCAGTGTCAAAATCACCAAAGTGTCAGAAGAAAAAGCCTTAGTCTATACTTCTGAAACTATCCGATGTGAGTTTGTGTGCTGCTTCGTGTCCGCTGGCTCAATCTCTCCTTCCGAGCCGCGAAAAGATCCATGCTGAACTACGTCTACTTTAGATGGGCCCGAAGAAAGGCGGCGCGCCGAAGCAGAGGGGAAATGCCGCGGAGACGGTAGAGGAGACGCTCCAGGCGGTGGTATGTTTCGGTTTCCATGAAAGCGTTATCCATGAGGAGATCATCCCGGCCGCCGGCCGGGCATTGAAGCTGAATTTGGCTGATCATTCTTCTGGTGGTGTGTGATTTAGGTGCTTGCGGATACCTTCGAGACGAGATTTGAGCCGTTCACCCTGGAAAGACCTCGGGTACGTTGTGTGCTGTCTGGGAAGTCTGGCGGGGACGGGGAGGATGGAATAATGCATATACGTGAGCTAACACATGTGGGGGGCGGGTCTAGTGTCTCTTGACGCTCGCGAACACCCCTCTCATCGAATATACTCTTGAGTTCCTTGCCAATGCGGGTGTCGAGGATGTCTTCCTCTACGGTGGTGCGCATTCGGATCAGCTGGAGAGATATATCAAGTACGTGGATCGATTTCCGGGGAAGGCTGGCGCACGCTCACGTGCATGTTGGGATTGATGTTGTGAGGCTGACAAAGTGACGTGGATAGTGCGTCGAAGTGGAGAGCGCCCTCGTCGCCCTTTAAGCAGCTGACCTTCCTCAAGTCGACGTCAACCTCGGTCGGAGATGTCATGCGTGATCTGGATGGCAAGCACCTGATTACCGGAGATTTCATCGTTGTCAGCGGCGATGTCATCAGCAACCTGCCGATCGAAGGCGCCTTGACCAAGCACCGTGCTCGCCGTGAAGCCGATAAGAATGCGATCATGACTATGATCTTGCGCGAAGCCGGCCGCAACCACCGAACCAAGGCCTCTTCCGTGTCCCCCGTCTTTGTGATCGACCCGACCAAGGACCGTTGTCTGCACTACGAGGAGATCGACCAACACAACCCCGACTCCACGCGCCTGAACATAGAGCCTGAGATCATCACTTCACACCAGGAAATCGACTTGCGCCAGGACCTGATCGACTGCAACATCGATATCTGCACGCCCGATGTGCTGAGTCTCTGGTCCGACAGCTTCGATTACCAGGCGCCGCGCAAGCAGTTCTTGTTCGGTGTGTTGAAAGATTACGAGCTGAACGGCAAGACGATTCACACCCACATCATCAAGGACCACTATGCGGCGCGGGTGAGGAATCTAAAGGCGTACGATGCCATTAGCAAGGATATCATCTCCCGTTGGACGTATCCTCTTTGCCCCGACACCAACCTGCTTCCCGGACACAACTACGAGCTCCGCAAGGGAAGCCTGTACCAGGAACAGGGCGTGACTCTGGCCCGCTCGTGTGTCATCGGCCGCCGAACGGTTATCGGTCAGGGAACGAGTATCGGGGACAAGACGACGGTTAAGGATACAGTTCTCGGCCGAGACTGCAAGATTGGCAAGAACGTCACCTTGGAAGGTGCCTACATCTGGGACGGTGCTGTTATCGGTGACGGAACGACAGTCAAACAAGCCATCGTTGCCGACCGGGCAGTCGTTGGAAAGAACTGTACTGTCGAGCCTGGTGCTCTCATTTCTTTTGGCGTGGAAATTGCCGATGGGGTCAAGGTTACCGAGGGACTCCGCATCACGAAAGCACCCAGAGACGAGGACGACGGTGTACCCACAAGCGAGCCTGAGATTGTTGGTGAAGGGGGTACGGGTTACGAATATGTTCCATACGAAGACGAGGATGAGGATGACACAGTCAGTAACGCCTCGTCAGGATTGAGTAAGTACTTTCCCCTCCGGCTGAACGCTTGGTTGAGACTATTGCCCGCTAACCGCACACCTGCAGTCTACAATATGGCACATCTCTCGCTCTCCACCGACTCCATCTCCACACTTTCATCAGAGATCTCCGACTTTGGCGGCTCCCGCTCTGGAAGCTTTAGTACTACGATGTCTGATGATGAGGATTCGGACCACTTTGTACACGATGCTGCGGCCAGCGTCTACGACAGTTTGCGGGAGGGTGTCACGTCGGACGTGGTTCAGCTGGAACTGGTCAGTCTGCGTATGACGGCCAATGCCTCGGACCACCAGGTTCGCCGCGCCGTAGTCTCCGCGTTCATGAAGCGGGTCGCGCAGTTGATGGAAGGTGGCAAGGGCGCCGGAGAGGCGGTCCGAGAGATCTTCGGCAAGTACCGGGAGATCGTCGAGCGGGCCTTATTCGACCGCGAGCGTGAAGACAAGCCCGACCAGGTTGACTTGCTTGTCCTCCTCCAGCAGGACTTGGTGCACCGCAGCCGTGGCGATACGGTTCTCTTGTTCATTGCTAAGGAACTGTACGACTTGGAGATTATCGATGAGGAGGCCTATGAGCAATGGTGGGACGATGAGCGCTCGAGCAGCACCGAGGAGATGCGACAAGTGCGCAGCCAGGCACAGCAGTTTGTTGACTGGTTGGCCAATGCCGAGGAAGAGGAGAGCAGCGAAGAGGAAGAGAGCGAGGAGGAAGATGATGATGAATGAATGACCTAGACTGTGGCATATAGACTGCTTCTAAAATTCAAGCTACGATCATGATCGATTGTTAGTCAACAATGATATACCTTTGGGTGCCTTGGTGCCTTGGTGCCTGGGATACCAGGCTACCAATATGGCGGTCAGGTGCTACATTTGGGAGTATTATAGTAATAGGATGCGCTTCATTCTCGTGGATAATAGGTGTCTAGCTGAGGTTATTCCACTTGCGACATATCCAAAACCCACCCCCCCAATCCTGGTAAAAATTGATCTGCCAAGGGGTGTAAGTAGTACGGGGTCAGTAACTAGGCTGAATGGCTCTGCAGCCTGCATCCGTCCCCACTTTGGAGCCTCAAGGTGACATATAAAATCCCTTTTTGATGTCAGCTGTGTTCTCTCTCCTTTCTCCTGACCTGGTTTTGGAGCTGGCAGACTTTTGCACCCTGAGGGAACAAAATGATTGTTGCATGATTTGATGTCTATCAGACTAAGTCTGAAGAGGCCTGAAGAGTTGTGTTGCTTCCAAGTTGTCGTGAGCGGTAGTTTTCCGAAGGAGCTGAGCAGAGAGAGCGAGTCAGGGCGGTCGGACCAAGTGATCTCCCCCACATCATCTCATCCTCTCCCCTCCCTCCCTCCCTCCCTCCCTCCCTCCCTCTCTCCCACCCCCGTGACGTCCATCCGCTCCCTTAGTGACACCCACTCATCCACTCACCCACCCACCCTGACTACCACCACTACCACATCCATATCCATCTTCTTCTTCCTTTCTTCCCTTTCCTCCGCCTCTCTCCCGATTGATAATCTCAAGCTACGCATCAATCATATTGAGAACTAGTCCTGCACGATTCCCCACCCCCTTCTCCTTCCTTTCCTTTCCATCCCATCCTTCGGATCTCGGAAAAATTACCTCACCCTGATTCCTTGGTAGGCTGTGACTGTGTTGCCCCGGTAAAAAAGAAGGTCTCGACCAACCATCTCGAGACCGACTTTTTTCTCGTGTCAGCACATACCTCGCCTTGCCAACGGACTCTGCCCACAGCTATCCACCACGCCTCCCCTCACGAGAAAGAGAAAGGCGGCCGAGGCGACGCTTGTAGACAACGCGACCACAGCAGCAGCGACAGCCGCCGCCACCACCTCCACCTCCGATACCAACGTCGCCTTCGCGCCCGCCGCCACCGCACCCTGCTCTTCTGACAAATCCACCCGGAAAAAGCTCAAGTCGACCGACCGGGACCCCGACACCGAATCCCTTGCTGCGCTCTCCACCGGCCTCTCGGACTTCGTGGAGGAGGAGAAGAAGGCGACCGATCTCGTTACCCCTGCGTCGACCAGTATGGAGTCCGACGAGGATTTCATGAGCGTTGGTTCCAGTCCCGATGACTTTCTGGACACCCAAGGCAGTGATATCGAGAGTCTGGGCGACGGTACGTGATGCTTGCTCATTTCTCCTACACTCTCTCTGCCTTGTGCGTCGATCGTGACACTGACCCGCGTTGTTCCTGGAGAAATAGACTTCGGTGACGAATTTGATGGCGGGTTCTCCAAAGACAAGGATATTATCGCGACGAAACGGAAGCCGTACGAGGTAGAGTTCAAAGTCTTGAGTCCGGACGACATCGAGCGGCAACAGAATGTGCAGATCAATGAGGTTTCCTCAATTCTCGGCCTGCCCCCGGAGTCATCGGCTATCCTGCTGCGGTACGGACGGTGGAAACGCGAGAAGTTGATCGAATCGTATATGGATCATCCGGAAGAGACCCTGGAGGAGGCGGGTCTGGGGACCAACTTTGAGGGAACGCCGCAGACCGAGGTGGTATCCGGGTTCATGTGTGAAATTTGCTGCGAAGATGGCGACGAGCTCGAGACGTATGCTATGCGCTGCGGGCACCGCTTCTGCGTCGACTGCTATCGCCACTACCTGGCCCAGAAGATTCGCGGGGAGGGTGAGGCCGCGCGGATCGAATGTCCCGGCAATGACTGTCACATGATTGTGGACTCGAAATCATTAGGACTGCTTGTGACGGATGATCTGCGGGAAAGGTAAGATGGACTCGATGTGCGGGGGAATGTTGCTCAAATTGCTAATGTCTTCATACAGATACAAAGCTCTCCTTATGCGGACGTACGTCGACGACAAAGATAATCTCAAATGGTGCCCTGCACCGGAATGTGTATATGCGATAGATTGCCCTATCAAACAACGCGACCTGCGGCGCATTGTGCCCACAGTCCAGTGTGACTGTAAGCACTACTTCTGTTTTGGATGTACACTCAACGACCATCAGCCTGCACCATGCACGCTGGTCAAGATGTGGCTGAAGAAGTGCGAGGATGATTCCGAGACAGCAAATTGGATCTCCGCCAACACGAAAGAGTGCCCGAGATGCCATTCAACGATCGAGAAGAACGGTGGCTGCAACCACATGACGTGTCGAAAGTGTAAGCATGAGTTTTGCTGGATGTGCATGGGACTATGGTCGGAGCATGGCACCAGCTGGTACAACTGCAATCGATACGAGGAGAAGTCCGGGTCGGAGGCCCGCACTGCGCAGGCGCGATCTCGGGAGTCGTTGGAGCGGTACCTCCACTACTACAACCGATATGCCAACCACGAGCAGTCGGCCAAGTTGGATAAGGACCTGTACCTGAAGACCGAGAAGAAGATGACCAGTCTTCAATCACAATCCGGTCTCTCGTGGATCGAAGTCCAGTTCCTGGACACCGCATCACAGGCACTGCAACAATGCCGACAGACCCTGAAGTGGACGTATGCGTTTGCCTATTACCTCGCGCGCAACAACCTGACCGAGATCTTCGAGGACAACCAGAAGGATCTAGAGATGGCCGTGGAGAGTCTGAGTGAAATGTTCGAGAAACCGGTACCAGAGCTCGCAAAACTGAAGGTCGATATTTTGGACAAAACGGCTTACTGTAACAAACGGCGGGTGATTCTGCTGAGTGACACAGCAGAGAATCTGAAAAATGGTACGTTCTTCCCTCTCTTTGTTTCTTCATCACATGGGGCGAACAGCTTACTGATTTCTACTCAACAGGAGAATGGTCATTTAATGTGGATTGGTAGAGAACAGACATACTCAACTTCTTTCCTTCCCCATTCCCGTTCAACTAGAAGCAAGCATAAGAAATCACGACGTGCATGACAAATAACCAGCGCATATGGATTTTTTTTCTCCCTTCATCATCGACACTTATATTTATCTCTTGTTTATCTCAGACAGGCGCACCCCCCGATTGTTCCTTACTGTATGTATTCTCTACACATGACTACCTACAGGGCGAGACCATTCTCTCCGTGCGTGTTGTTACACTCATCCTCTTTATGTATGTGATACTGGCCGCCTCATTTTGTTATTACAGTCTGTCTATTTTTTTTTTTTTTTTTTTTTTTTTTTTTTTTCGCGAGCCGATATGGTTGCGAGGAAGCTATATTTATATTCTGAGTTGTCCTGAACTGGCGACCTCTCTTCTCAGCATATGTATTTCTTGAACTGTTTTCCATGGGAAAGAGGTATTGAACATGCGTGTCAGAATTTGTTCAGTTTGCTGAAATGAAAGACAGCTAGGTATACATGTTTGGCCAGGGTACTGAATAAACTCAGGTTGGAACAACCTTCTTGTGTTTAATTGCACAGCTTATTCTCTCTCTTGTAGTGGCAACGACTATAGAAGAATAGTTGGTAACTTAGTCCGTGAGGTTGGAAGTAAATAGCTCACCCACAGCAAGCGGGACGGGGGAGGAAAGAACGGGAACCAACCACCTAACTAGACTAGTTGACTAAACAGTATAGTCAGGTGCTTCATGTGCCGTGTTTCTATCTCCTCGGAACTTTTCGATTCTGATGGGTCCTGACTCTCCTTTTTTTTTTTTTTGGTACATTTGTACGGAGATTTGGTTTAGGTAATAACTGATCCAGGATTCAGTTCTTCCATTTCGCTTCTGGAATAGAATGTCCCACTTTTTTTTTTTTTCGTTTCTGATTGATCTTAGATTATGGATGGAGCATGTACGAGAAGGAGGTGATGAGGATGGGATTGATCGGGGATCATCTTTGTTTTACTTGTTGAGTTTGTTTACAAGGCCCTTTTTCTCTCTCTCCCACATTTCCTTTGAGGGCATTCTATAGTAGGTTTACTGAGTGGCTGTGGAAATCATAGGGTTTGACTTTGAGTTGTCGTCTGGTGTTGGGAGGGTATACATACTCATTTGTTTTGCACTACGGAGTACAACAAAGAGGATCTCCCAAATCTCAATCAGATAAGACAGCAGCGAGACAGCCAGAGGAACCCGGGATCAAGGTTCCCGTCCTTTTTTGCACTTTTCGGATCATCGGGGACGCCTAGCCCCGAGAGGGAAAAGCCAACTGGTGGCCGGTGGAACCCACGGATCCCGCTTGATGCTGTCGGGTCACGGATGGCCAATGAACGATTCCTCCGCGGTTCGGCGGTTGGATTACACTATCGGTCATGAGGCAGCAGAATCGGTCAGTACTGTACAATGGAATTGGGAAGGTGGTGGGCTTTGGAGGGTGAAATGTCGGATCAGCGACTGCTGTGACTCCGAAGAGGCAGGCTCGGTTTTGCCAGTCTTGAGAGAAAAGTAACAGAATATGACCATTCATGACAGACATGTGGCCTTGAGGGAGAAGCTCCGTCATCGGACTGGAGGTTGAAATGCCTCGGTGTAAGATTGATTGCCTAAGCTTGGGAGGCTAGCCTGTTCTAGGTCGGGGGAGCTGATTCAGCGATACCGACCGGGGAGAGGGAGAAGAATACCGAGCGAAAATCAGAACTGTCGCGAAACGCGATGAACGAAAGAAGTACAGTAATACAAGGGGAATCAAAACATTGCTTCGGAAGGACAATGTATCTATTCTGATGATGCTGTACTTACATTGGACTATCTAAAGCACGGTTGTAGTAGGAATAGAGTCGGCTAATTGTAGCCATATCAATCCATCTACTCACTTATCTGATATGATCATCTCGAGGGACAATCAGAAATAACATGCTACGGTAATAACCAAAAAGATCAAGCTTGCAGGAAGCAGACTAGAATAAAAGTGCTCCGTAAACACTGCATCAATCAGAATGGTTCCCAAATCAGTTTGGCTCACTGCCGGACTCTCACCTTCAGATCCTGACCGTACCATTACCGGACATTCCGCTTTCATACCTCGTCTTAGCTCCCAGTTGGCCCTAGTCTAGCCTGGAAGGGTCAGGTACCATACCGTCAGAATGGTAACCGGTCGGTACGGGATACTTGCTGCTATCGACCTGCAGGCGGACTTTTTTAGTTGACCATCCCAGAATTATCAGCATTTCTTCTTTTCCTGCCTCTCTCCATCTCTCCCCTCATCTTCCCTACCACATTGATTCTTCCCCGTAGTACTTACTCGGGTTGAGGCTGGTCTCATTACTATCTCCTTGTTCTCCTCCCTCTTCTGCATCTCCTTACATTTCCTCGAGAAACGCCCTCTCCTTCCCCCTACCGGTATACCCACTTCCCTGTCCCCTCCGCCCGGATCGGCCTTCCCTCTCCGCTCCGCAAAGTCCGTTTTTCTGCGTCGGCATTTTCGGGCCTACAGCTTTGAGACCAACTCTCCTCAATCCCCTCGGAGCTCCCTTCGCCTTTCCTTCTCCCACGTATCTCGTCGCTCCGTAGCCCTCGCTACGCCCGAAATCCTCAAGAGCTCAATGGCGGTCCCCGAACAGATCCCCGGGCAAGAATATGAGTATGTGCCAGTCCACATTTCCTGCCTTGGTCGGCAATGGCCTCCACCATCCGTGGACTCAGAACACCTCTGCGGAGGGGGACATTCTAGGTCACAAATTCCTCTATGTGCGCGGCCATTGCTATGAACCGCCAAAGACCAGAAAACATCGGCACACCTTTATTTTTTGTTGTAAAGATCACCCGCTAACCGCAGCCTGATGATGACACAGCTATGAAGCCCTCCCCTCCAACTATGGCTTAGGCGCCAATATGTTGGCTGGCGCCTTCGCAGGAATCGCAGTACGTGCTAGGATAAGAACTTTATCTTCGAGATGGCTGGGGTGTGCTGACCATGGGGCTTTTTTCTTTTCCTAGGAACACTCTGTCATGTATCCGGTAGACTTGTTGAAGGTACGTGGCTCATGCGAATTGTGGCACCAAATGCGACCTTGCAGAAGCAGTGCGCGGGAATCTCTAACCTGGCTGGGAGAACTAACACCTTGGTAGACTCGCATGCAAATCTTGCATCCTACGACTGGAGGGCTCTACACAGGCTTGACTAATGCGGTTTCGACGATTTACCGGATTGAGGGCTGGCGGACACTGTGGAAGGGTGTCTCGAGTGTGATTGTCGGCGCCGGTGGGTTATTTGCGAGAGCAACAGGATCGGAGATTCCGACAGGTGACTGACTGGTGTCTTTCTTTGGACAGGTCCCGCTCACGCCGTGTACTTTGGAACATATGAGATGGTGAAGGAAATGGCGGGTGGTAATGTCGACGATGGCCACCACCCGGTCGCGGCAGGTGAGTTACAAGTTCCGCAGATGTGAAGCGATACGGGCGCAATGACTGACTGACCGTAAACTACTAGCTCTGAGCGGTGCTTCTGCGACCATCGCTAGCGATGCTTTGATGAATCCCTTTGACGGTAAGTTTTTGTGCGACTGCTCGACTTTGCAAAACAGCCTCTGACGCCGCGCAGTGATCAAGCAACGTATGCAGGTGCATGGTTCGGTACATAAGAGTCTCCTTCAATGTGCTCGGTCCGTTTACCGCACGGAAGGTTTCCAGGCATTCTACGTCTCCTATCCCACTACCCTCTGCATGACTGTCCCCTTCACCGCCACTCAGTTTGTCGCCTACGAGTCCATTTCCAAGGTCATGAACCCTTCGCAGGATTACGACCCATTTACGCACTGTATGGCCGGTGGTCTGGCGGGTGCGTTTGCGGCCGGTCTGACCACCCCGCTCGACGTGGTGAAGACGCTGCTGCAAACTCGGGGTTTGGCGCAAAATGAGGAAATCCGCTCGGCCAAGGGTCTGTTCAACGCGGCGGCCATCATCAAGCGGCAGTTTGGCTGGAAGGGCTTCCTGCGTGGCGCTCGCCCCCGCATTATTTCCACCATGCCCAGTACCGCTATTTGCTGGTGAGATTGGTCTGGCACCAACTCTTGGAGAAACATTTCGCTGATCGCATTTATCTAGGACCTCCTACGAGATGGCCAAGGCCTACTTCAAGGGTCAGCCGGACAACTAAGCCCACCTTGTCAGTTTTCCTCAACGGCCCGATCGCATGAATCCGACACACTTCCGCTTCCTTCCCTTCCTCTGCACCTGATCCCCCGGGGAGAAACACGCAACAACCCCCTCTCACCTTTACATCGCTTTTCCAACCAAAAAAAAAAAAAAAACATTTAAGGATAGAAATAATAAAAGCACGACGCAGAAAATAGTCCACAATGCTTCGATTCGATGGAGAGGAAAAAGAACGATGCTATTATCCAATGCATCACATGCGAGAAGGAAGGCAGACAATGCAGAAGACAGGGTGTTCAGGTAACACTCTCTGGGCGCTGATCTAGGGGCTTTATCCTCTTCTGATGCTTGTCCCGCTCCTGGTTCTCTGTCTTGCTACACACTCACCCCGTCATTTCGAGTGTCAGATTCATCATGATCATGATCATGATCATCATCACCACCACGATACCCCCAACATTTCATATATCACCAAGTCCGAAGCCCAGACGGGGAGACTCCGAGGGACTGACCTGTCTATCTCCGAGCTGAGCTAGAACCATGCTTATATTACTCTTCTGACGTGTTATTTTTCAATTTTCTTGACCTGGATGGGGCTTTCTGATTGACTGATTGGATGAGTTGGATGGATGGTGAAAAGTAGACCATCGGGGTGTGAGTTGGCGCTTGCGCAGCTGCTGTAATTACTGCTGCTTCTTGGTTGGTTCGAGGCCTTTTGATTTGACTGGGCCTGATTGATGTATGCTTAATTGGTAGGCGTTGACGGGACGCAAGGGGAAATATCTGGACGATTTTCCTTTTCTTTTTTTTTTTCCTTTATACTTATGGTCTGTCAGGTTGGAGTACTACCGCCTCTTCCTCTCTGCACTGCATTTTAGTCCTAGTCGTTGCTGCGCCGCTCGGGATACACTGCGATTGATTCACTGTGAATAAATTTCTGTATGTACGTTATATAGAGGGAACTGCAGGAAAAGGCTGATTGGTTTGTTGATTGGTTTTGAAGTGGATGGAATGATCAAAAATATGAGACTTTTTTTTCCCATAACCATGTCAATAATTGGAGAGGAGGCGAAGAGGCACAGGCTGCAAAGAGAAGGAGGGGACAGAAAGCGTCCAGCGAACGACGTCACTGGGAAAAATCGGAAAAAGAACATCCCCAGACCGAACCCGGCCAAACCCCCGCCAGTTCCAGTTCTCTTCCTACTTGCTACTACGACTGACTTCCAACCTCTCTCTCTTTTTTTCTCTATTCCTCAATTCTACTTCACCCCGACTGACGGACTCTTCTCCACCCACTCAATTGGTTGATCTGCACACTTCTCCCCTGCCACTCGTTTCTCACCCGTCGATCTCCCTTTCATCCCTCCTTCTCCCTCTACAACTAAATTGCGGGCGGGTCCTGCAAGATTCCCGCTCCATCTCACATCTCCTCCCCCCCTCCTTCAACTTCGAATGAATGATGCGCCCCAAGCCGGCGTCTTCATTGCAGAAGACCTACGATGATTGCTATTTGATGTGCTCAACTGCCGTCTACTTCGAGGGTCAGGTCTGTACTTTTGTTCCACAGCATTCTACTCCCATACTCCAAGCTAAACCATTCCGATTGTGGCAGAATAATGAGGAGGAAGCCTTAAGATCTTGGCGCTCCGCTCTGGAAACGATCTACTATCACAACGCTTATCGAGTTCCCGCCAAGTATACCCCCAAGAACGAAACCGAACGGGCTTTGCAGGACTCCATCCGTCAGCTGGAGCTGCAATGCCGCGAGCGCGTCGATCTCCTTCAGGCCCTTCGCGAAAGTAGAAAGGATTCATCGGGCAAATCGCCTCCGCGCGCCACCCCCGGTTGGATCGGCGACGGGACCGTTCCCGCCGTTGGATACACCGATCTCTCCAAACCGCCCACCATCCCCGGTCGTCCGACTCCCACCACCACCGTCAGTTCGGAGTCAATCCGGCGGGAATCAGCCAGTGCCGCCACGTCTCCCCCCATGCCGGGAACCCCCGCCCTGCGCACCCAGTCGCATTCCCCGAGCAAGGCCGATTCGCGCACCTCGAGCCCCGAGCGGCGCAAGCTGACCATGCCTTTTACCCTGCGCAGTTCAGACATCAAGAAACAGAGCAAGAAGAAGGACAGCTCTCGCCGGAGGGATCTGCGGCCGGCCGCAGCCTCTCAGGCTGCAGGGCTGGCCTGGGGTAGTATCTACCCGTCCTTCACGCCGCCAGACCGAACGGCCAGTGATGCGGCATTGGCCTCAACCCGGGCCTCCAATGACTCGAGTATCCGAAAAGAGTCCGAATCCCGTCGTCCGCTCTCCGGCGACGAGCGTGTTCCAAGGAGAGCAACACATCCGGCGGATGATCCCGACGAACGTCGACATGGTCGGAAACCTCGTGCCTCAGACCAGTCGGTATCGCATCGGCCCTCTGCACGGAGAACGGCAACCTCCTCCTCCACTACCACCCCTACTACATCGACACACCCCAAACCGGTCGGCGGCGAAGTACGGCATCAGTCCTCCAATCAGTCGCTCCCCGCTGCGGTTGAATCGCAGTCAAGGAATACCAGTCGGCCGCAACCTCCGCCGAAGCCTTCTATCAAACCGAAACCAGTCTCCTTACGGTCACCCCATCCCACTTCTTCCCCATCAGGAGTGTCACCACACCCGCCGCCCGAAGGTTCGGGCACGCCGCGAACCAAGCCGGCATCTCGTCCACGGATTACCCCCACCTCGTCGACCGATGGCAGGCTGGTTCCTGGGTTGGATCGACTGGCGCTTTCACCCAGCAGCGCGAGAATCGCTGCTCAATCGCCAGGAGGCGTGAATCGCACTGTGACGCCTCCTTCCAGCGACCCCGAATCATCTGGTCCCAAGTCCACAGATCCGGACGAGGAAGACCTCGCGGAAGAAGACGAAGAGGATGCCATCCTGAATGTAATGAACAAGCTCCCTAGGGGCATCGATGCGACGGCTGCGCGCCAAATACTGAACGACATCGTTGTCCGCGGTGACGAAGTCTATTGGGACGATATCGCCGGTCTGGACGGAGCCAAGAAGGCCCTCAAAGAAGCCGTGGTCTACCCTTTCCTCCGGCCCGACCTTTTCTCGGGTCTCCGCGAACCGGCGCGCGGCATGCTCCTCTTCGGACCGCCAGGCACAGGCAAGACGATGCTTGCCCGAGCGGTGGCCACCGAATCTCGATCGACCTTCTTCTCCGTCTCGGCCTCCACGCTCACCTCCAAGTGGCACGGCGAGAGTGAGAAACTCGTGCGCGCGCTGTTCGGCTTGGCCAAAGCCCTGGCCCCGTCCATCATCTTTGTCGACGAGATCGACTCCCTGCTCTCCGCGCGCTCCTCGGGCACCGAGAACGAAGCCTCCCGCCGCTCCAAGACCGAATTTCTCATCCAATGGTCCGACCTCCAACGCGCCGCCGCCGGCCGCGAACAGAAGGACAAGAAGATCGGCGACGCCAGCCGCGTGCTCGTCCTCGCCGCCACGAACATGCCCTGGGACATCGACGAGGCGGCCCGTCGCCGCTTCGTCCGGCGACAATACATCCCACTCCCCGAACAGCACGTCCGCGAACAGCAACTCCGCAAACTGCTCAGCCACCAAAACCACGAGTTGACGGATGAGGACATCGAGGTATTAGTCCAGGTCACGGAGGGTGAGTCTCGCCCATTTTTCTTTTCTTTTTCTTTTTCTTTTCTTTGTCTTTGAGGGGTATGTGTTTAATTGACTAATCTCATCCAGGCTTCTCCGGCTCCGACATGACCGCCCTGGCCAAAGACGCCGCCATGGGCCCGCTCCGCAACCTCGGAGAGGCATTACTGCACACCCCGATGGACCAGATTCAACCGATCCGGTTCCAGGATTTCGAGGCGAGCTTGCTCTCCATCCGGCCGAGTGTCAGTAAGGACGGGTTACAGGAGTATGAGGAGTGGGCGAGACAGTTTGGTGAGCGGGGAGGATAGAGCAGAGGGTTCGGCATCTTTGACCTTTTACTCCTCTATACTTCTTCTCCGGCAACTTCTTCCCTATTCCTTGGTTTCATTGTCGTGTGGTATTGTTAGTCTAAGTGCTTGGAGGGGAGTCAGTCGTTTGATCTGTATCTGGAATGTACACTTGGTCCTGGGGTACGGGGTACGGGGTACGGGGTATGGGGTATGCGAGGGACGGCTAGCCTAGGGTTGGGACTACGGATTATTTTGTTGTTTTTCTTTTTTTTTTTCGGACAGGACAGCTCGCGTATAGGCGTTTCTGTGGGAAGGGTTGGCTAGCTAGGCTTTGGGAGAAAATGGTGGGGACTTGGGTTGAGTATGTTCCATCTGGACGGCCGGGCGAAGGCTTTCTTGGGTGGGTTTATTCGAGGTCACTATCCGGGGAGTGTGGTTTTCTGTAGCATGTAGGTGTAACTGTACGGAACAAAGTTTCAATGGGGATGGGGGATGGGGATAGCTATAGCGATAGCGATAGGTATAGGTATAGGTGTCACTCAGGGCTCTTAGGCACAGGGTCACAGATTAGGCTATGATATATCCGAGAGACCAATTCAAGATCTAATTATGATATACGATGACCAGGTAGACACTCATGTTACCTAAGTATTCATCTGTTCATATTGACAGCTATGAACAAGGGGCGGGTGGTGGCTCTGAAAGCAGCACTGAAGCTTTCAAAAGCCATGGGGGAAAGAAGTAATAAAATACACACACACACACACACACACGCACAAGCTGGCAGAAAACATAGACAAGTGAACTCTCACTCGAGTAAACAGTATGTGTGACTATCAATTGTACAATATAGTCCGGGCTAAAGAGAGTCAGGGCATAATATCTATACTGTTGAGAAGCAGTGGAACCCCCCCCTCGCCTCCTCCCTCCTTTCCCCGCCAGAACCAGAACCATTTAGAAAGAGAAATTGCGCCGAAACACAGAGTACCCTAACGGGCTGAAGCTTGAGTGAGGTCCTTCAAGAAAGCTCATATACACTACCATGGCGCTGACCTTGCAGCTCATACACCTGCCAAGAAGGCTCATTGGACCTTGCGAGAGTCCTTGGGTGCCCGAGCCGTTGATCTTGTGTCACGCCTGCGGACCGCGAGTAGTTCCGCGAATGCGAGCCGACAACCACACGCCCCTTGTTGTTGATGAGCTTAGGGGAACGTGTGCATCGATTCCCGTACCCGTACCGGAGCAGGACTTCTGCTGCCAGGGCCAGGGTGAGTGACAGGCTCACGCCCAGCCCGATGCCGGCCTTAGCAATGTCGGAAAGACCACCGTCATCGCCGCCGCCGCCGTCGTCGGCCGGTGACCCAGAGCTTCCACGCAGTATCGGTAACTCCGTCCAGTGACCTTCCCAGCTATTTTCCCAATCGCTCAAGCTCGCGGAGATCGTGGCATCACTGGGCCTGAGGACGGTCGGCCGTGCGGAGCCGGGTACAATTGGAGTTCGCACGATCGCTTGCCCATGTTCAGTGTACATTCAATCTACAGAGCCTCTAAAAGCAAGTGTAAGTAGGGAGGTATGCTCAAATAAGAACCAGAGCTCGTACCTGTCGACGCTGGGCAAAGTCCTGGTAAAAGCCTAGCCAGAGCTCACGAGAGCGACAATCTGGCCTCCCCGTCTGGGTCGCATTATTACAGGCCGGTTGTTCTTGGTCCATGACCGTATCCGGGGTCTTCAGCCAAGGCTTGAGTGGATCGATCTAGATGTCAGTCCAGTACCTTACAAAGTCCAGGCGGAAACAGTTGGATAGATCCATCGGGTGCAAAAAGCAGACTTGCCTTGGAGACCGGCCAATCCGAGAAATGCCGGAATTTGGCCTCTGACAAGACCAAGTCAGGGTTCCAGCTGGTGTGCGGATGGCCGCCGAGATAGTTCGTGTGAAGTCGGGCACGAAATTCGCCGGTCAAGAGGATATAGGGACGGTGAGGAAGGACCATCGCACGGTCCTTGTACAGATCGTTCAGGATCTCCATGTCGTAGTCGGATTGTCCAGCCCCTTGGATCCGCTCCTAGATGTAGCCAAACTCGGAGTCCGAGGGCTGGATCAAAATGACCGCGGAGGTGAGCAGGCGATGCTCGAACCCGAGCCAGTACGCGCGGGGCATTGCCACTGGGGCCGGGGGAAGCAAAAACAATTCATCCATGGCCTGCTGGGGTTGGGGAGGGGTGATTCTCAGTATCTGCTCAGACCAAATAACTAGCCAGCATACAGAGAGAGGGAGAGAGAACGCATACCTGCAAGATCGTCCCATCGGAGTCTAGACTCAGCACACGCGCGTACTGGGTTTGGTTGAAAGCCAGAAGCTTGGTAGAGCTCTCTGCCCATGTCACTAGATTGAGAGTCAGTCTCAATCTCTCTCTCTCTCTCTCTCTCTCTCTGGTTCGTGCCTGCACCAGCCAATTAATGGTGTTGCTTACCATCACTACTGATTCGACTCTGCACGTCAATCGGAACCAGCCGCGCGCGGTAATGCGCCTGCATCTTGCGCAGCAATTCACCTTCAATGGAGTCCATCTCGGGATCGAGGCACGAAGGATACATCAAGACGCGATCTGGTTGGCTTTGCAACTGATGAAGTCTTTCGAACATCATCACCGAGTTGCAAAGATAGGCGGTGTTGGTGGCATATTGCACGTAGGCAAACCGTGACCAGTCGATATCTCTTCGAGACTGGACCGGCAAGGGCGAGCCACTGCGACAAAATGCCCGAGAACTGCTGATCGGCAGCCTCCAGAGAAGTAAAATGACGAGGGTCGCACTGAAGAGTAGACAAAGATGCCGGGACGAAAGTAACATTGCGGGAGAAACTGGTATATAACTGCTGCCTTGCGAAGTAATTCGCTGATACAGATATCTGCTGAATCTTAAGAGAAAAAAAAATGTACAAGGGATACCTTGAGAATGAGTGCACTCGGATACCTCTAGAGGCATTTATAGTCAAGTGAACTCATTGTTCTTCCTGTACCCTCATTCATGATGAGCCTTGGGGCTTCTAGGGCCAGGATCATGTCCCATGGGACAGACGAATTACACAGCGATCATTGCTGGAATCCTTTTGTGTCTCATACTAGCTACACTTCGGCAAACATGATATTGCTTATTCGGTAAGCTATAGCAAGCAAGACTTGCCTTGGGGGTTGCTGGTCCCGAGTATATTTCCGCTAGAGTAGCCCAGGCTTCAGGCTCAAAGCTGTATGTCGGCCCTTATAATCCTACCACATGGGTCTGAGGATCCACCTGCAGGTGGAGAGATAACCTTTCGAGCTAGTCTCTAACAGGGAGTATAGGCAACTGCAGTGCCCAGGGTAAGTCAGTCAGTCAGTCAGTCAGTCAGTCAGTCAGTCAGTCAGAGAGGACGACATTCCGACAATAGATCTAAACTCCGTTCTCTTTTGCGGTCCCCCTTGAAAATCTATAACTTTTACTAGATTCTTACCCTTCTCAGTTTCGGCCTCCTTCAATTCGATCGCCAATGATGAAGTTAGAGGCATATATCTTTAGACCCTTTGTTGCTTCATCCGAAGTCATGTAGCCACCGGTCTTTGTTCTATTCTGGCATGCCAAGAACAAAAAGACGGGCATAGGGATGCGTCGCCGCAATAACATTCTCCCAACTGAAAATCAAAATGAACAAGTGAGTCAGTTACATGTCGTATAATAAAGTTGAGGCCTTTGGTTTGGTTCAAGTTTGGTTCAGGAAGTATAACAAGCCACTCTACCAAAGGGGTAAAGATGTAAATCTTTCTAGATAAAATCAGTCCATGTGGCTTGAATTCAGCTGCGGTGTATAAGCGAGGCAACTTTCATGAGTAAGGCTATTCCTGCAAGCAAAGGAGTTTATGCGAGTGATGATTCCCGCGGGCGACGCAGTCCGTCCAAGCGAGGGGGTTCATACTTGCGAGGATCTTTACAAGCGATGGAGTTGGTGTGAGTTGGATAAGCAGGCCTTGCCGCAGTAGTCGTGTGAGCAGAGATGGGAGCAGAAACAACAAGTGTGGATTGTAGAAGCTTGACACCAACCAAAAGCACAATAACAATAGACAAGAAACCTTGGTATCCGAATTCGATGACTCTTGATATCAACTATAAAGGGGGGAAAGTAAAAAAAAAAAAAAAAAAAACCAAGTGAAGGCAAATAATAACAAACATAAGAAAGCCCGGGGGACAACGGGCTTCAGATATCAAAATCAGGATTAATTCCAGCCCCCCCACTCCCCGTCAATACACCAATTCACCCTGCGGTCCTACAGATCGATCAAACTGCCACCCTGCTGAGGCTGCTGATGATACGTCTGCTGTCCTCCCCAAGGGTTGTTGACCGGCTGCGCAAACCCCGTCTGCTGTGGAACGAACTGCTGCTGCGGCTGGGCGAAGAAAGGATTGTTGCCCGTCCGCGTGGCCCGGAGCCTGTCCAGTCCCTGTCCGGCCGAGTTGACAAATGTACCCGGGGCCGTATGCTGGGCGGGTATACGCAAATCTCCCACATTTCCGAAAGTGTCTTGTCCCTCTCCAGAAGCCAAGAGTGCGTTCAACTGTGCGCGATGCGGATCCAGCATCTGAGTGGGTGCGGTCTTCTGCGGCGTGAAAGACTGCTGGGGCGGAGCAAGTGACTGTGGCTGTGTCTGGTAGTTCGCGATCGGATTGGGCGATGTGAATTGGTTCGTGACCCTCTCTTCCGCCAAAGTATTCAGTGATGGAGGTCCAGTAGTAGCGGGTCGGCTCTGGAACTGCTGAGTACGTGGTGCAAATGGATTGTTCGATCCCGTAGGCATCGGTTTCAGAGCATCCGCTGGCTGTGGGCTAGCCCATGGGTTGTTCGTACCCGCCGACAAAAAGTTATCCTGAGGTTGTTGGAACTGCTGCTGTTGCGGCTGTTGCGGCTGTTGCTGCTGTTGCTGCTGGGAAAATGCGTCGCCTCCCCAGGGGTTGTTGACGTTGAATGCTGTGTGTTGTGGCTGTACAGTGGCCTGCGGCTGCAGATAGTTGTTCTGCGCCTGGCTGTAGGGGTTCTGGTCAAACGAGGTCGGCTGCGCCTGGAATCCGTTGCCATACCCATTGGGCATACCGGTCATCTGACTCTGGAAACCAGTAGGCTGGGCATATTGGTTGTTCAAATAACCAGTTGTCAGCGGCTGTTGCGGGTTGATCGGGTTGCCGAACCAGTCGACCGCGCTCTGCTGCTGGTAACCCTGGTTGTATCCGGTAGGTTGCGGCTGGGCGACTTGCGTAGGGGCATCATCGAACAGGGAATGGGCATTGCTCTCCTCCAGCTCCCGCTTGCGCAACTCCTCTTCTTCCTTGCTCAATTTGATTGCCTTCGCCAGATCCTCGTCGTCGTCAACCGCGGCTGTATCCCTAGCCCGGCGCTTGCGCTCCTCCTCGGCTTCATACTTGCTCGCCTCAATTGCCAAGCGGTATTCGGCATCGTCGTCGTCATTTGTGGTGCGGCGACGCTCGCGGCGCTCGCGACGGGGCTCTGGAGCGTAGCCCCCTTGATGGTCATCCAGACCGCTCACCCGGGACTTCCAGAGCTTGCGATCGGAGCGCTCGCTGCGCAATCGGTCTTCGTCCAGAACGAGCGAGGTGAGTTCCTTGGCGGCCACACGGACTGTAATCGGATTCAGTTAGATATTACGTAGATTACCCCAGCCACCCCATATTAACGTACCGTTTTGTCCGACATCACGTCCGTCCTCATCAACGTACTGAAACTCGCGCAAAGTCTTGATGATGTAGACATTCTTACGGGCCCACGTTACTACCAATTCGGAGCCTTCGTGCAGGCAGTAATCCAAGACTTTCAATGACTTGAGGACGTGGCGCCAATTTTTGCCTTTGTCGTTTAAGCGCTTATCCAACATGTCCATGATCTCATAGAAATCGGTGGGGCTAAATGTTTGCACGAGGGGGGTCAGTTTGAGTCGCGGGACCATGCAGGCCACGGAGGACGCGGGGTAGCCTACCTGCTGAAGGTCAAGGCGGCGATTTCGGCCATCTCGGTGCCAGTTGGCCCCCAAGGATCATTACTCGTAGCTGTGAAGGGAAGAAGAAATGTGACATTAGCGTCAATCGACTATACACTCGTCCAATGGAGAAAATGCTGGAATGGAGGTGACCATGGATTGACTGGAAGTTATGACGATAAGGAGGGTGTATCGTAGGCTACAGCCGATCGGAGGCAAGATAAGCGGGCAGTAACAGTCCAACGTACCATTTCGAACCTTGACCTGCACGGAGGAATAACCCTTGGTGACGTTTTTCACACTGCGCACGACTTTAGACATGGTGGCGGTATTGAGTGTGTTGATGGGAGAAGTGAGGATAGACTAGGCGGCCCTTTCCGCCTTTGGCTTGCGTAAGAGGGGGAGATAATGAGGGAGGAGGTTGTGAGCGAGGCGAACAAGGCGATCGCGCAGAAATAGGTGTCAATGGAGCTGGGGAGGATGGAGCAACTGCGATGGGGAGCAGAACCAGTCCGACTCCTTATCGCGCTTAGAACGGTGGGAAAGGCGTATGTAAGCCGCGTTCGGAATTGTCACTCAGTGACCGTGAGACAGTCGGAACTTAAGACTGGTGCGACTCAAGGTGATTCGAAGAACAGGAGATCGCGACTGCAGATAGCAGTGGATGGTCGGAAATAGGATGATGGAGTTGAAAGAGAAGAAAAAGAGGTGTGAGGGGAAGGGAGGAGTGTGGAGGAGGAGAAGAAGAGAGGAAGAGAAGAGAAGAGGAAGCGGAGCAAGAGAGAGATCGGGCGGACTAAAAGGTTGGGTGCCACCGGAAGACCGTTCAATAAATTCCAGCCAATTTCTCACAACCACACCTCTAAGCCGTCCTGGATTAGCGGGGATTTCCGTTCTCACTGAGCTCGGATGCAATGCGCTCGTGTTAAATGCAAAGAAATTCTCTTTCGAGTGTGTAGCTGCGTCAGGTTGTCGAATCTGCCTTCTCGGGCGTTCATTCACTTCCCTCGGGCAGCGGCCAGTCGAATAGGGGCACTGCGACAACGTACAAGGACGAAGAAGGGATTGGGACGGTACAAAAACGGTTTGTTCAAAGCCAACCGAAAGGAGAATGAACGGATAAATACTGCGGAGACCAGAAGAGCGAAGAAGAAGGAGCAGGAAGGGAGAAGGAGGGAGATTTTGATGAATTTGATATTGATGGATGCGATGATCAGGAGAAGGAACCCGAGCGATAATGGAACTGAACTACTGGGGATGGTGTCATTCCTTCCTCTTCCTCTGCTCTCCGTCTCTATGCACTCTGTTTCTTCTACTCATGACAATAGTCCTATCTGGAGTCGCTGGGGTGGCTCCATGTTATTTAACATGATAGTGTTCACTTTAAGCACCACTTGACGTCAATTGACCATTCCCCTATACAAACATTCGCCGAACTTCCATCCCAGTCGGAGAAAATCGAGGCTAGAGATTCGAAGGCCTTTCCAAACCATCCGACTCATCCTGCTCCAGGTCTCTCCCACCCATAACCAACGCGGAATACTGAATATGCTCTCTTTCCCGAGGCGGTGCAAAGCCATTTTCCCCGTGTGTTGTGCTTTAGCGCCTGGCCGGCCTCGCAATCGACGTCATCGCAGGCAGGGGCCGGCCGGCCTTTCTTGCAGATCGAACCACGTTCGGCCTCATCCTAACTAACTCCAATGAAACCTGACCCCGTCCATGCGATCTTTCTAATTGACAGAGAAAAAAGCGTCCGCACTCCCACCCGCAAAGAAATGGTGGAAGTTGCAGGCAGCAGAATTTATGCGGTTTCCTGGTCCTTCTGGTCGGCTAAACCTTATGTCATCTCCGGGCCCCGGTTTTCCAAAAGTTTGCATCAGATTATTGACAGCATCTAGCTACCAGTCATCGCAGAGAGGTCTATACTTCATGTGCATTGTTTACACTGAAACATCCCTCATTTCATCTAAAGCCTGAGGAGACGAAAGAAGGGAAGTGAAGGGGAAGAGGAAGTTGAAACTAGATATATGAACAATGAGAGGACAAAGAACTGCTATTCTAGGATTTTTGCTCTTCCTCCAGACTGAGGTATTTGGCCTCAGCGCCCTTGATGCAGGCAATGTTCGCTCCCAGCTTGTTCAGCGTCTCCACGTACTCATCGTACGGGTCTGAGTCGAATACAATGCCTCCTCCCGCCTGCAGGTAAGCCACCCCGTCCTTGACCATCATTGTCCGCAGCGCAATGCAAGTGTCCATTGCACCCGGCACTTCTGCCGCTCCATTTGCGCTGGCAATGTTATAGCCGAAGTAACCCACCGCGCCCGCATACACACCGCGCTTCTCGCCCTCCAGCTCCGCAATCAGCTGCATCGCCCGGACCTTGGGTGCGCCCGACACCGTCCCCGCGGGGAAAATTGACCGGAATGCATCGAAGCGCGTCTTTTCCGGCCGCAAGACACCCGAGACCTGCGACACGAGATGCTGCACGTGCGAGAATCTCTCCACCACCATCAACCGATCAACCTGTGTCGTCGTCGGGTCGCATACTCGGTTTACGTCGTTGCGTGCCAGATCCACCAGCATAACGTGCTCCGCGCGGTCCTTCAGACTGCTGCGCAACTCGGTGGCCAACGCCTCGTCTTCTTCCGGCGTCCGGCCGCGCTTTACCGTACCCGCGATCGGGTGTGTGATAATGCGGCCCTTCTCCTCCTTGACCAGCAGCTCCGGACTGGCACCAACCAGCTGGAAGTCTTCACAGTCGATGTAGAAAAGGTACGGGGACGGATTGACGGTGCGCAGGTGTCGGAAGAGGTTGAAGGGGTGGAGGGAGGTGGGGCGGGACAGCCGCTGCGAGGGCACGGTCTGGAAGATGTCACCCTTGGAAATGTGCTCCTTCAGGCGAGTAACATGACGCTCGTAGCCTTCACGTCCGATGTTCGACGTGTATTCCTGATTCTGTAGGATAGGACCCTGGGGTGGAAGTGGGTGGTCGGGGCGCAGTAGAGTCGCGACAATGCGCTGAAGGGCCTCCTGGCCCTTGCGGTACTCGGTCTCGAGCTCCGTCTTGCTGCTGGGGATGGGGATGTATGTGATGACCTTGACAACCTGGAAGAAGTGATCGAAAGCGACGATAGTGTCGAAGAGCATGAAGAGCGACTCGGGAATACCCAGCACATCCTTCATTGGGCGGGCCGTCTTAGGTTCGAAATACCGCACACAGTCGTAACCAACGTAGCCGATAGCACCTCCGGTCAGAGGAGGAAGAGTCAACCCGGGCACTGTCGCGACACGATATCCGGACAACTCTTCCTCCAGAATCGGCAGCGGGTCACACTCGGGCCCATGGCCAGCACCAGTCTTGATCACTTTGCGAGGATCTGCGCACCCAGAGAAAAAGTAGACGGAGGAATCAGTCACGAGCTCTGAATCTCGAAAGCCGGGGAAAGTGGATTAGCAAGGGTACCGCATACCAGCTCCAACAAAACTGTATCTTCCGATGGTTTCTGTGGTGGCAGCACTTTCGTAGAGGAACGACAATTTCGATCTGGGCCGGTCAGCGCGCCTACTCAGCGGCGGAGGTCGCGGGCAGCAAATGACTCACTTCTCTGCGATCTTCAGATATGCCAGGGTAGGAGTCAAGAGGTCGGCTGAGATAGAGGTAACCAACGGCAAAAGGTTGGGAGCAAACTTGGAGTCTCGGACGGAATCGATGACCTCGCCTGCAGTCTCGAGAGACGGCACAATCGTGATCTGAGTGAGTCAGAAGGAATTAGCATGCAACCACTTTCGTACCAGTTAAGTTGGTGATTTTTGTCGAGCACAATGCATGTTACATGCTTAGAGGCAATGCAAGAACTAGAAAAACACTTACAGACGGCGCCATCTTTGCGTATGAAGTTGGTGGTGTGCGGGAAAAAGTAACGGAGGAGGGGAGGTGCGGGAGAAGATTGGCAGGGAGGGACAATCAAAAAGAGCCCGAGTCCGGAAGCAAGCCGGAGATGGAGGGGGGGGTGGGATTTGCTGGCGGGCGGGGCGGGCGGGCGAGCAGAGGCAATAGACCTCGGTATAAAAAGGACTTTTCACAGTGAAAAGAATGGGAGAGTGAGAGTGAGAGAGGCAAAAGAATAAGTCACGGCTAGGGAGACGCTGAGGATGGGAAAAGCAAAAGTTCCGTAAAGTGATCCAGTTGTAAGTTCCAAGATTGATATGTTCCCGAACTGGCCATCCAGACCGTAAGTATGCCGTTCTCCCAACCCGGACTAGCGTTACCGGCCTGATAGACGGCGGCATTCATCCCGATTCTTATTCATCATTATCATCCAACTAACTAGCTAATGTTATTGACAGCCCGACTGTCAACAATTCCATTGTTCCTCCTGCAATTCGCTTGCTTGAGTATCTGTCTATCTACTGAAGTATGGACCATCGGGATCATTCCCTAGCTGACAATTCAGGATATAAAATATACTCTTTCTTTTCTACCTTCCAAGCTCAAGCTCCTCTGCCATCCTGTGGCCCAACCCAAGCTATCCGGTTGCTGTGGAAATCCTTCGCCTGATCAGCTGTTGTTCTTGCTGGAAGCATTATTCCAGCAGTCATCGTCATCATCTGAGGCCGGGCCTGAGCTGTTGCTTAACACCTTCGCCCAAACCTTTTCTTGGGTATCACTGCACGTCAATCTGAAGGAAATCTAAAAGAAATCAGGGTACATTTCACCCTTTTTCTCCTGTGCGCACGGGCTTGCAGCACGCTACTTCTAATCCGCCCCCTTGCACCGACCCTCGAATTCTATGCTCAGAGGCCTGAGATTTCTAAGAGATTATCGAGATAAGGGAATAAGTGGCATTACGATAGGATCCAGTTATCAAAAACGAGAACACAACAAAGTCTCTAAACCCCTGGAATAGCCCTCCATGGAACATCAGACGTCTTACTTACAGCCCTCGCCGCCGTCATCGGTGGCGGAGCAAACATGGGACAAGACTCTCACAGACCCCGATCACGCTTCTCATATCCTCGAAAGCGATATGAATGATGCAACCTCATTGCCTGCACGTCTCACCCGAGTGGCTCAGATTCTGTCCGAAAGTAACTCGGTTTCTATATCAGACTCCACCACAATCCATCACTGCCTCCAGGAGATGGAGGCCCTGCTTGATCCGCGTCCGGGAATCTCACATGAAGTCGCCCGTTGTCGACCCCGTGCGCATTCTCGACCGCCCAGCCCAGTAGATTCTCCTCGAGATCCACATATGAATTCCAACATACCAGTGTCGACAACAGCGAATCATGTCGGTTCTGTCCAGGGTATATCGCACTCTCAGCTGACAGATCTTCTCAACGAAGTTACAACGATGAAAGCGGAATTCAGCCAGCGCCGCAGAGAGTCGCTTGAAATCCACAGTTTGCTCACCCAGGAGCGCCAGGTGTTGACACAGAGACTGGCAGAGCTAGACGACGAGATACACGAACTGTGAGTGGTGCCTCATGACTCTTGTCTGTTGCCTTGCTGTGATTAGCATACTGATATTTCGATACTAGTCGGAAAGATATCCTTGAAGACTCAGCAGAACGGGAGGCCATGCAAGGAACGATCAATGGCTTAGAAATCTGGGTGGACGACTGGCACAAGCAGCACCTCTTAGCTGTGACGGAGGGGCCCACGATGAAGCATCGGCGAAAGAGTCAACGGCGGTGGACGAAGTGTGCCAAGGAAGAACGATTCAATGACGACGGAGAAGCGCTCTTTGAAGGCATCACAGCATGGATGCGGGGTTGGAAGGACGTCGAGGAGGGCTTTCACGTTCGACAGAAGGATCGCGACCTGAGAAGGGAACAAAGAAGGGAGCAGATGCAAAGACAGAGGGACCATTCCCAAACAAGTCTGGATTGATGAGACTAGGGATCGCTGGTTTAGAGGAAATGGACATGTAATTGGTGATACCAAGCACCGATGATGCTACCCAGAGCCGAATTGCCAGAGGTTTCTGAGAAGGTGTTACCCCACTAAATTGGAGATGAGGCGGCGCGCACTTGCGCCCAATCAGTCGACCAAAAACAATTGGTACAGTGCGTAAAAAGAAGAGAGTGAAATGAAGTCACAAGAGCCACCGTAATCAACCCGTGAAGTCGCCAACCGCCGCTTTTGCTGCCTGAGTCCAACCTGCGCCGTTTAAGAGTGATCTAACCCAGTATTTATCGAAGCAAGAACTATAATTATGGTAATATAGCTGTAAAGGTGTATTCTGTAGACGTGATGGGTGCTCTCCGGGATTGCGCTTCGATAACATGGTACATCGGGGCCTGCCGAAAACCTTGAGCGCAAAGACGAGATCTGTTTGAGGCAAAACGCCATGATGCTGCAGCTGGCCTGTGTTCCCGGTTTGCCTTCATCGCCGCTTAATGAAGTGACGTACAGTATGTGCATCGAATAGTCATCGATCATAATCTCGAAATAGTGTCGCAAGAACCTGAGCGAGGCGACATTGTCATCGATTTGAAGAACTCAGCGCTGCAGGTTGACGATAGCCAACTAGTTGATCATAGTTAGTATGCTGAACTCTTTAGGGTCGAAATTGCCATACGTGGTTACCAAATCCAAACGCAAGTTTCTTGCCATCAGTATCCCACGCCAGAGAACGGTCCAGGACCGGTTCTGTAATTCCATTAGGTCCGTTGACGGGGGCCCCTGGTTCATCTTCTGATTTCCGCTCTTCACGTCCTGGGGCTTTCCATGCAGCCATCGCGGTCCCGCCTCTTTGTGCGTTCCAGATGAGCAGACTGTCCTTGCTGGCAGCTGCAAGGGCGTAGCCATCTGGTGAGAAACTAGCAGCCAGAGCGGGCGATGAGGGGCCAAGGGAGAGTTGATGTATACATTCAAATCGCTTGGAATCCAGATCAATCCGCCAAACTTTCACCGTATCGTCCGTTGAAGACGAGGCCATGAAGACAGTTTGAGTTACCGCAGACTGTTCTCCGTTTGGCTTGATTTCAATTGCAGTGATCTCGCCTTCGTGAGCATTGTCGACGTATATATCGTGAGTCGGAACCCAGAGGGCAGCTTTGGCGGAGGATGCGGCAACGGCCACGGGTGAGGGGCCAACACTAGCACAACGGATAAAAGCCCAAAGCCTCTCTGCATTGCTTGATTTGAAAGTCTGTGAGATGTGAACGCTGGAATCCACATCACACTGATAGACAGTGCCAGGACCGCAAGCATAGACTTGGCTGCATCCCAGCCAGCACAGATCGAGTACAGTCCCGTCGATGACCTGCGGGGAGGGGAATTCATCCGGACGTAGAGAATCGTCCCACAGAGCAAGCTCGGAAATTCGACTGTCGGAAGCAACCACAATCAACTTCGAGCCATTTTCCACCCAGTGCAAGCCGGTGATCATCCGCGGAACCTCTGGGAGCAGGTCCACGGCGTGTCCAAAGACGTCATACATCGTGATCGAGCCTCTCATATCATTGTATGTCGCCACAGCCAACTTGTGTCCGTTGGGCTCCCAGGAGACTGCTGAGACACATGTACGGTCTCCATTATTCTCAACAAGCTTTTCTTGCACAGGGAGCGCGGTTGACGACAATCTCCATAGACTACAGAATGTATCACCAGCGGCGACGACAACGGTGGGGTCATTGGGACGCCACAGTGTTCTCGTCACGTGATCATCACCAGCCACCTCCAGAAGGGCTGTGTCGGGCGCCAGGTCGGCCGCCTTGGCGGGGGTGATCTGTACGCCAACGCTGTGGCCGGTTGTCAGGGTAAAGGTTGGCGGCGGTGGTGCGGGTGGTTCCTGGTGGTCCTGCGATTCCGGTCGGATGCCCATGCTCACGTCGCCATCCCCATCCACGGCCAGCTCGGCTGTTGATGGCGACTCTTCAGGTGCCACTGCGGCTTTGACCTCTGGATGTGTGACCCCATTGGAATCTACCTCCATCGGCACCTCATCTCCGTTAGTTTCTGAGCGGTCGCTTTTGCGAGCTTTCTTCACAGTTCGGACGGGCTGGGGGGCGGCAGCCTCGGCCGTCAAATGACCGTTGGTCACGCCGCCGCTCTCGCGCGCAACTTTGCTTGCGGGAGAGACAGGCGCCTGGGCTGTGCCAACTGCTGCCTCCTCCGAGCCGTTTTGCACCTTTGACGTCTCCGGCTCCAAGGGAGCTGGTCCGAAGAAATAAGTCGATGGTGAATAAGATATCGCATTTCCATCCTGTATTGCAAATTAGACTTTACGTCACTCTTCGTTTTTCACATCCACGCAAATGGCGACCGAGGGTTGGATGGTGAAGATAGATACTTGAGGATAACATGGAAAGAATTGTGTTCATACCCGATCAATAGAATGCTCCAGTTCGTAATACTGTAGGCCTTTTTGAACTAACGAGACAAGAGCATGGGTTTTGATGTATGGGGCAAATGGCAAACTCTGCGGGTCATGATTCCACGCGCGCTGCAATGTGATTGCAGCTTCGCCATGTCCTATAAACGAGCGTCAACGGAATTAACAAATGCTTGAACATTCGTCAACCACAAGAAAAAAAGGAATTTACCTGATTCTTGGAGGTACCTATCATGGAGTCAGCGAAGGTGCACCAGGGCCACAGCCAGTGAGTGCGCGGGAGGCAAAACAGGAACGAGGATATAGGCAGGCAACAAGGTTGGCTCAAGAGGAATTTGATACATACCTCCATATTAGGTAATTGACATGATGTGATGTGAGATCAGGGTGTGCCATTGTTACATGTATGACAGCTAGTAAGATGTAAAGTCCGCTAGCATGCCAGAAGTGAAAAGCTTCTCCAACGAGATAGACGAGCAACGGCGCGAGGTGGGAAGATGAAGCTTCAGAAGATGTGAGAGTTCCCGGAAGTTGACTGATTAAGCACTGTGGAGCAGAATCTTTCGTGCTAAGAATTCTCGAAGCTGGTAGCTTTGCTGGAGAAGAGGGGAGAACGAGCCGGGTAAAGACGCAGCCAAGGCTGTGACAAGGGAGACGGCCAGTATGCGAAAGGGGAGGTTAAAGATGCAGGGCCCGGACGCAGGCCGCAAATGTCAAATGAGAAAGGCAGTAAGATGGTCACAAAGAGTGTGAATGACTAGGGAACATTCTACAAGCTCCCACTGACGATATTGTTAGGACGATAGAGAAGTTCTCTGACAGCAGTACGAAATGGAGGTTGAAAGGGAAATGTGAAGAACGAATAATATCGGGACGGGAGGAAATCGACACCAACGTGTGGCTTGACGATGGGAGACCCGCTAGCGAACTGCAGAGACCGGAGAAGCAACACCAAGTGTTTGGGAAGACCAAGAGAGGGGCGGGAGGGGGGCAAGGAGGAGGGGGGAAAGATGAGGGGGGCAAAAGAGAGACAAAGAGAGAACCAAAGGAGAGAAGGGTCCGTGGAGAATGGTAGGAATAGAGGAGAGATACGAAAATAATTGGGGGAGTGGAATAGGATGGCAGCGGGCGATCTCTAAAGGGAGATTTGAGTTGAGTTGACTGATGGAGAAGTTAGGTTAGAGAGAGGCCAGACGGACGGATGAGGAACTACCCTTAGTTTCGGGGCAGTAGCAGCAGCAGTCGCAGCAAGACCAGGTACGGTATGTGGGTAAAGAGAGGGAGAGAGAGGTTCAGCCGGACGCTCGGATGGACGACCCTCAAAACACTCTTTTTCAGATGTTTTTTTTCCAGTTATGTCTCCAGTTGGTCGGTCTGTCGGTCTGTCGGTCTGTCGGTCTGTTCGTCCAGTGCTTCTTAACCAGAATTTTAGTCTCTCGGCTTCAGTAATAACTTATCAATAGCCAGAGAATGATTAAATCCGTGACAGTGAACAATTCGACGGACAGACAGACGGACGGACGGTGTTGACTTGGGACAAATTCGGGGGATGATGGGGGGGGGGCGCTTGACTCGTCGTGGCGTCTAGGCCATGGGTAGCGTGCAGTTGACTAAACCCGTACCATCAAATACCATCAAATTGACGGCCAGCGGATCGACCTGGCCGCTGGGCCGGGTTGGGACTAGTGCAAACGGGGCCAACTCTCTTTTTATTTTCTGGTTGGTTATCTTATTCTGATCAGGTCGACTGCATTTCCATGGAGCATCATTTCCTGAACACATGGTTGAGGGTTAGGCTGGCTGCCGGACAGATTACCCCTCAAGTCCAGTATTGCTCTTGAACTCTTATTGCCATCTATCTGTCTACGGTTCGTAGACAATGACTACTTCACTGCCTAGAGACTCTCAATGACAATAAGTACAATCGAATCATACTCACCCACAGGGGTGGTAGTGAATGGTCGATCTGGATCTTGGTGTGGTCCATCCTTTTGCTGGGCTGGCCGGTCGATCCGCTCGTTGTACATCATCTCTGGTGCATGCATGCATTGTGGGCTAAATCCCTCCCGCTCCCCGCCGGTGCAAATAAATGTAAATGTCGCTCTGTGTTACCTCCTGTCTATAACCTAGCCTTTGCATGGATATCACTTATGCTCCTCACCTATTGTCAACGAACCATATCAGAAGACCGCTACAGGAGGAAACTGCAGGGGTAGAATTCGGAGCACATGTCTTATTGTCATCGGGGTCCTGCTAAGTCGGATGGCCCGAACAAAGACAGACTCCATTGTCACCATGATGTATTCAATCCTCGCCATTATAAGTTACGGGAGAAATCTTAGATAATTACTCGGGCCACATCGACAAGCTTCTTTCCCCTATTTCTAGCATTTACTCCACAATCCGTGATAAGGCTAGGCATTAGGTACAGACTAAGGACAGTACATAAGATACATAGTCCGTAGTCCAAAAGGTCAAAGCACCGGGAATGCCAGGCAGTTTACTCCGTAAGGATGAGACCCCGTTCTGGTAAGGCCAATTAAGGTGACCAATCAGACATATGCGATCCTACTATCATTGCAGCTTGTCCCAAACAGGACTCGTCTCGGGACTCCCGACTGTTCTGCGGGAGGTGTTTGTTCTCTACCTTGACAGCAGCTGAGTTGATTCGGCCTGAATTTCTATCCTCCAACTACTTTCTCGGTCCCTTCTCACTAATTCACATCTCCCAGCTGGGCTCCATCAACCAGCCTGCGGTCTAGCAACCGCAAGAGCTCTTTTCTCAGTCTCTCTTTCATCATGGCTCTCCGAGTGAACATCCCCCCGGCCACCCGAATCTGCCTGATCAGTCTCCTTACCCTCTCCTTGCTGTACAACATTGCCCGATGGCGCCAAATTGACACCACGGGGGGCACACCGACCGTCACCCCCATCGTACCCTACCTTACGCTTGTTCCATCATATCTCCTTTACTACCCGTGGACGCTCGTGACTGCTACATTTGTGGAGCGGAACATCTTCACTGTTCTGCTGAACGCCGCCACCCTCTTTTACGGCGGGAAGTACCTGGAGCGGGCATGGGGCTCACGGGAGTTTGCCAAGTTCATCCTCACGATCGCAGTGATCCCCAATGTGGTCATCGTACCTATCTATCTCTTGGGCACTGCGATGAGTGGCAACTCCAGCAGCGGGTACGCCCCTTTCACCCATCGCGAATGCACAACATCGTGCGCTTTCCCTGCTGACACCCCGGCTTCCAGCGTCACTCAGATCTGCGGCGGCATCTCGATCCAGGCATCCTTCCTCGTCGCCTTCAAGCAGCTCGTCCCCGAACACACAGTCACCATCTTCCAGGGCTTGGTGAAGATGCGGGTGAAGCACTTCCCCGCCCTCTTCCTCCTCCTGAACACGATCAGCGGTGTAGTCGTCGGCACTCGGGCCGCCGCGATCCTTTCCTGGCTTGGTCTCGTGACGAGCTGGACCTACCTGCGATTCTTCAAGCGCCAGCCCGACCTGACCGGCACCTCGACCGATGGACTGGGCATCAGGGGTGACGCGAGCGAGACCTTCGCATTCGCATGCCTATTCCCCGACCTCCTCCAGCCGCCCATCGCTTTTATCTCCGATCAGGTCTATGCGCTCTTGATTGCGGTGAAGGTCTGCACCCCCTTCTCCGAGGAGGCTATCGCATCCGGCAATCAACAGGTCCTGGCTCGCGGCGAAGCCGGTCTTCCCAGCCTTCTTTCGAACCAGCGCGGGGGAAGAGCCATGGCCAAGCGGGAGGAGGCGGAGCGACGACGCGCGCTGGCTCTCAAGGCTCTGGATCAGAGGCTACAGGCTGCGGCTGCGGCGAGAGCGCCCCCGTCGACGTTGAATCAGCCAGGCGCCGCCCATAGTCAGACTCCGACCCCAACAGTAGCAGCAGGACAGGCGATGCTGGGTGAAACCAGCTACACTCCGGATCACGCTTGATGTGACAACATGCTCAGTACTGCTCCTTTTTTTGTGTTCGTTTGGAGATATCCTCAAAGAATTATCATTATGCTGTGAAGGGCCAACGAGGGCTGCCAGAGTCCCGTTCTTGACCGGGCTTGGTTGCTCCTTCAAAATGGGTAGCAATTCGCACTTTTCAGGGAAGTTCAGCTGCTTTCTTACTGACTGTATATTTTCGCATTGTGGATCCTACTGGGCATGTTATGAATGCATCATATGAATGGAGTTAGCTACATGCTCGGGTTGGAGGCTATTATCCATTTTACATGACTCATGACTGCGGCAAATTGTTTTTAAATCTAATATGTCAACAGGACTTTCAGACCTTTTTCGCTACAAATAGAGAATGCAGCAGAGTTCATATGAAACCCAGGTACAACACAAAACGAACCGTAGAAGTACAAACTCCCATGGTAGGGATGTAATATTCTTGACACGAACCACATAATCGAACAAGAGTATAGGAAATATAAAACAGGGAAAATGCTAGTATGCTACAAGTGACCATGACCAAGTCGTGAACCCCACAAACCAAAACTGTGACCCCATCTTGAAAGCAGCTGGAAAGTTATGACACCATGGACAACAAAAAATAAAGATGTGTGGTGTAAGCCACACACACACACACACACACACACACACACAGAGAAGACAGGGAGGGGGTGGAGAGAGGAAAGCGCAAAAGGGAAGAGGAACAAAAAGAGAGGGGGAAAAAAACAACTTCTGGTTTAGAGCTGCTTCAACCGCTCCACCTGTTCTCTGGCCTCCTGCAACATGCGCTCCTGGTCCTTCTTCGCCTGCCGCATGGTCGCTATCCGAACCCGATCCGTCTTGGACTTGGCGGCCATCTGGTCCAGCTTGCGCAGCTCGGCCGTCTCCTCAGCCGTCGCGGAGATCTCCGTGGCGCCGGTCATGTTCTTGACTTTGTTCCAGATCTCGGTGTAGGGGAGGTTCCGGACGTCGAGGACGGCGACCTGCTCGTTGGCGGCGGGCGCCGGGGCGTGGGCATCCTTGAGGTCTTCGGCGGCGAGCGAGGCGGCGATCGGGCTGGTCTGCTGGGCGAAGTAGACGCTCAGGGCGGCGGGCCCGTCCTGGTCCTCCGTCTGGCGGACGGTCATCGGGATGCCCGGGTTGTGGTACTTGAGCCGCGGGAGGCAGTTGCGCCAGAAATGCCGCGCGCCCTGGTGGCCGCCGTAGATCTTGCGGGCGTAGGTCAGGTGCAGCCGGGTGATCGCGGGGAATTCCTGGGTCGCGGAGGGGGCCGCGGGGAAGACCGCGGCGCCGGTTCCAACGCGGACGTTGAGAAGCTGGTGAGATTTGTAGATGTTAGTCTCGAGGGGGTGGGTTCGTGGAGTTTGCTGGGTTGCTGTCCGTCGGTGTCGGGCCTCACGGAGATGGCAGTC